ACTAGAACAACTCTGTAAAGAAATAAAATAGCTTGGAACAAATAAAGCATTTGTAAACACAAAAGATAAATATCAGCTCATAAAAAATATCTTTGTTAAGACAGAGTTACATTACCGTGATATTGTTATTTAATTGACTGTAAGATTCATGACGCTTGTTTAATTATGCTTGGGACTCTTCATCTGGATGTAGTTTTTCGACAAGCCACTGGTTATCTGAACTCAATAACTCAAATTATTGTGTGTTAATACTTGAAATGGTGATCGCTGAGGTTGGATTTCGGTGTGAAAACCAACACTAAGGTTCCTGTATATTCGTCCAACAAGTCCCAGTTCGGATGAAACGTGCGGAACAAACTCCACGGCTAGCTGTAATCCAACAAAACTTTCATGATGTTTAGTAACTGAGCTCAAAAATCTACAACCGCTATATACCAATTAACTCAAAATCTAGGATAGTCACTCACTCTTGCTGATTGTCGCCATTCATCTAACAATATTCAAACATAATATTTTAAAAATTCTTTCTTTTTTCCCTTCCGTTGCTTACTCTAATTTATTCTAGAATATTTATGAAGATTGTCATGATCTCTTAATGAAAACTATGCCATGTGAAACCGATATTCCCATCAATTCAGATGATATACCGATTGACTCTTCGTCTGGATTTGAAAATGCTCATTCGAATAGTAACTCAAATAGTCCAATCACTCAGTCAATAATTAGTTCACCTGAAACTAATCTCAATAAACATATTACTAATACTAATAACAATAACAATTATGTTAAATTGGATTTACAGCCTAATAATTTCGTAAAATATGAAATCACATCGTCAGGTAATTTAAGTTATCAGACATGGTCAACAGATATAAAAGATGATTACAGTATTTCTATTGATGGTCAAACAGTTCAAAATCAAGTAAAATTCAATGATTCAATACAATGTAATAATTATTTAAATCAAAATTTTTACTCCTCAACTAATACTGATCAAATGAATTTATTGGATGCATTACCGAGACCATATTATTGGACAAAATCATTATTTGAAACATCATCGTCATCTAATTATTGGTTACCTATGTCAACAAGTAATCAATGTTCACATTTTAATCCAAAATCGTATTCAACTCCAAGATGCGACGATGATGATAACGATGAAGATGATGATGATGATGATGATGACAACAATGATGAAGATGATGATGAACATGAAAACAGTGAATTAGAACATGATACGAGTAATGACATTAATAATAATACACATGATACATGGACTTTTAATAGATCCAATGATTATAGCTATTTAAATTCAACAACAACTAAGGATAGATTAAAAAATTCTGAAATAATTTATCCCAAATCACCATCACAAACTTCTTCATATCAAGAATGGAGAAAATACTGTTTAAATAACGACGCAAATCAATTGGTTTATAACTATGAACAAGGTAATTCACCAAAAACATCTCAAGATCCATTCAATTACAATTTTCATTCCTCTTGCTCGCAAACATTACCTGCAATACCACCGATACCTTCAGCGTTAATATCATCAGCTGAAACACAACCATCACCATGGTCTCTTATAGAATCAATCTGTGTACAACAACAACACCAACAACAAAAAACTAGTGAAAATGAAAAAAACTCTGTCATTATTACAAATCACAATTTCACCAAAATATCCGATACTCATAAGAACACTATTATTCCATTAACAAGTGAATATCAATTTCAAAGACAACAAGAACCACAATTTCCTGATCCATGTGAACATACAGCATTAACATCAACAATAACCTCTGTAATGGCTGATTCAACATCACCGTCATCATCATTATCATCATCATCGTCATCATCATCATTACATAACAACACAGTGTACATTTAGATATCGAAAAAAAAGTTTCACTGATGAATGTCGACAAGTGACGAAATACCAGTCATTATTGTTCATTCATTTCTATAAATACAAATACATAAAAATAAGATGATTCTATACGTTTCACTTAATAAGTCAAATACAATCATTAGTATTGTTAGTCAATTATTATTTGAACTACCTCGAAAAATACTATTATTCTTACCAATACGAGTATATTGTTCAATTTTCAGTTGACTTGGAGATTATTCAAACAAAATTGGTCAAAGTAAGGAAATACTACTGAATAATTTAATCTATAAATAGTGTATATTCTACTGTTAAATTGATGTAATTAGTAACGGTTAAAGAATAAATAAATAAACAAACGGATTCACCACACAAAGAAAAGTGAGAAACATGTTCAATATAAATTAATGTTTAAATAGTATTCAAGATCAATGCAAAATACTTGTCATTTTGATACATAACTTACTATGAATATACAATCACAATAACATCATGATCATGATCACGATCATCATCTTTATCGGCTTGTATACTGTTTGTTTCATTTGTACAAGGGATTTGAAAATTGTTGTTTACTCTGTTACTTTACAAAATTATCACTTTTAAACAATATCACTTAATTCCTTTCTATATACATATATAACACAACAATCTTCATTTATCTATCCATTCTAGTAGTGTAAAGAGATTATGCATCTTTACACAAAATGGCTTATTTTCAAATGAGTCAATAGTGAGTAGTTCAGTAAGCTACAATATGTATGCAAGTTGTTTAGTTTGAAGGATATCCAAAGATAATTGAATAGTTATTTTCGGCAATATCATAATTTATGGACGAATCAATCACGTATAAGATAACAGGTCTCGGATTTTGGCATGAGATTCACTCATCCATTTGAATAAATAGGGTTTCGAAATGATAGCTGGTGTCAATTCGTGATGAAAACCCGAAATCTAATTCATAATCTTAATCATCAACTGTAGATTATAATTATAATTCCTCACACAAGTTCATAACCTTCATTTGATCCTGGTTATTAAGTGGACAATCTCAAAGTCAGTCTAGAGTCGCTTAAAGGTCGTCGGTAGTGAGTATTCCTCATTTTAGTTCTCACAGATTATATAAGGAGTCATCAAATCTTTGATAGAATGTTAAGATTGGTTTGAAGATGATATTGAGTTAATTAGACTAGTGAACAGATTTCATCTCGTACTTTACGGTCAATTAATATAAATGTAAAGCATTAGAGTAAAACTTGGTAATGTAATACGCTCAAATTAAGATCAAATTGTTTATGAGATCAACCATGTGTTGAGTTTTTACACTTGAAACATTTCAAAAAAAATAGGTTGAAATAGACGTCCAGAACACCCTGGTGTCCAACCAATTATCAAGCAACACATCGAATAATGTTGTAAATCATGTTCAAACCCAGAACTATGTTATTCTACTAACAGTCATATCAAAACATGGTTGACAGATGAGGAAATAAAGTTTACAGTGCCGTTTTCACATTTTAATAACATAAAATGCAAATAGAGTTGAAAATATAGAATGTTTGGCAGATATCTAAAGTTAATGAATGTGTATAAACGATAGCAGAATCGACTAACAAATGTTACACCAATAAATAAATGATGGGCACTGAACTAATAGCTAAGCCATATCCGTCAGACTTGAAATCTCCTGAGTCTTCTTTTTGACAAGATCTTGAGTGTGCATTGCTGAAGAGTTTCATATCGGGATGAAACAGATAAACACAAAGCTCCCTGGTTTTCATTAATCTTTAACCTGTGACTAATATCACTAAAACTTATGGCTGACTTTGACAAAATCTCAGTTTCTTTTTCGTCATTTACCGAAACAATGAAATCAAGAAACCTGTCTCAGTAAATTTAATACATCCAATTATTTATTTCTATTTGCTTGTTGGGAGTTTGTGTCAGTAATTCAATCGAATCCATAAAAATGCTTACTTATACATATGCTTGTCATATAACACTCAGAATCTAATCATATACCTTCCTGTCATATTCTATATTTGTAATGAATACTTAAGTCTGATTGAAACTCTATAATCATATAGTCGCCATGACGTGTGGTAGGCTTATCTTATTTCTGTTGACATTCCGCCAGATAATTGTCACTTTTGAAGACAATGAATGGATCGTTGGATGAGCACAAGTATGAAAGCACTAATCTTGTAATATGTGATATTTTTTGTTCTAAGCTATCTTTATATCAATTAACCCTAATTTATTTACTCAAACAAGTATAGGTAGTTATCATGTCATTATCCCGTTTACCTTGTGTTTCATGCTAACTGGAACTCGTAAACAAAATATAACGACAATCTTGAGAAAACTGATGCCACCTGTGGAATTTGAGTTCACATCACACCAAGTAAGTTGAGGTCTCAGTATCTCAATAGTGACATGTGAGCCTGAATAACGATGGGAGTTTGAATCCAAAAGAATACATAAGACCCACCAAGATTCCAGGTGCCTCTTACTTATAAGTCCAAAATAGAACAAAGCTTAGTCAAAATAGAGTTCCTTATCGACTACCTTCGGTCACCTAACATAATAACATAATGAACGAGATTTTCAATTGCTTAAACCGACGGCGACATCTCAACTTTATTGACAGAATTCGATCAAACAAGGCAGTGACCACTACCTAGTAATCAATCACTGTAGATTAGAACAAAACACTAACTGTCCGTTTTTAGAACCAACATTATACATTTCAAATAAACATTAATGCATGATCAAAACTTATATTTTTTACGGTAGGTTTTGCATACACTCGACAGTTCTTTCAATCATTATCGTGTAAACGAGCAAGCTACAAATAAAGAAATATCTTTGAGTTCAATATATGAATCAAACTAAATTTAAATTTATCATCAGCTCCCTAGTTTATTGCTGTAATAAACTGAAAAAAATAGGTCATTACTTTTAGATATAACCAAGTCATATTTGAGTATTGATCATAAGGTCCCTATTTATTTTTATATTACTGTTTAAACTACTTGTTAGTAGGTCAAGTCTTATGACAAAATTTTCATGACGTGACTTATTGAAAAAATTAAGTCAGTATTAAGTTAATGTATTTACCATAAAATTCAATCATTACAAGCATATAAATATAAAAGTATCGCTCAAAAAGTAACAAACAAGCGAAAAAAGACAGATTTTATACAGATAGTTCTTGGTTAAAATATTCAATTAATTTATCCAGATTATAATTTTCCAATAGTTTAAATAAATCATTCTTTCTATAGCTTACATCTTTCCCTTGAAAACGATATTTATCAATGTAGAGACCGACAATACACTCTAAAAGTTTAACAAAAAAACAGGTAGTTTTCGTTTGAAAAATAACAAAGTATCATTTAAAAGAAAATTATTTCATTCGACTATGTTACTGCTATGTGAGCGAGAATGATAATGATTAATTGTTTAATTTGTCCGATTAGTAGATAGTCTGACAAGTGTTAGATGAGTTATATATTCCCCTATCGTTATCATTACTTATTATTGATTGCTGTTGGGTTGTGTCGGCTTGTTGTTGGTTTTTCGTTTGGAAATATATTTACGCATAAACATAGGCAGTTTTTTCCCTTATTAATAAGAAATCTTTTCTATTACATAAGATTACATTCATTATGATTAAAAGCAGCAAGCAGACAGTGCTGTGTCTCTAAATGCGGCTTTTTATCACGGGATTTATTCGCCAATCGAAGTATGATTTATTCACTCTTGTACTGTACGAAACCAATGAGGTTCGACCGGTCTGATCAACCTAGCATCTTTACTGGTCCTTTGTTCGCCTAGCCCGTCCACTCGAATCCAGAGCACTAATAACAAGTTCCACTATACGAATCATTTATTTCAAACATATTCAGTTTATATACCAGCCAAACAGACCACATCACATCATAAAATGGGAAATAACATTTATCAGTATAGGGCTGTAGAGATTATCAAGTTTTTGATTGAGATCATGAACCGGTTGATATCAGACCATCATGAAAAATCTGGAAGCACTATAAGGCTGTTTCGTCCTATTACGGGACCCCAAGATCTCGCTCTCGGGATTCGAACCCAGGGCCTTCAATCTCGAGCGCGAACGCTTAATCTCTAGACCAGTGAGTCGGCATCCAGCGGTGTTAATGTCTAACCTCAATCAATCCGCGAAATTGCGCGACCATCTTCCATTGTACTGAGGTAGATACCTGTCTCTACCCGACACGGATTAGCTCCACTGGTCAAGAATAAGAGCAACACGAATATGAATAGTTTAGTTATTTAATAATTATACAATAAAAGTATACGCATAGTATTGTTCCATAAATGGATCCCCAAAATTACCATTCATTATTCTTATCAGGACATAATATACTATTATAGAAAATATCTTACCATAATATCTATTTAATTGACATGATTGATATTTGAATTCTTGTTTTAATTTATTTGAATCTCTCCATATTTGTACATATTCTAATGGTAAATAATCTGATGGTAATGGATTATCATTTGGAGTAATTTGTTTAAATAAACAATTATCTCTATTGATAGATTGAATTTCATTTGAAATTAACTCTGTTATTGGTTTGATTAATTTCACTTTCTTTTCTAATTCATTAAGATAAACTAGTTTGGTATCAATCATTCTTAACATATATTCTATACTATCCATTTGAATATCTAAAATAAGTTGAAATAAAAGAATCTTTCATGAGGATCAAATTTTTAATGTACTTTTATTATCAGTAGTATAAGTCAGATGTTCGTCTGTCTATCAAAAGAAAATTATACCGCATATATATTCACTCTGATCAACTTCGAGATCGACAAGTTGGATTCCGTAAAGATCGGTCGTGCACAGACTAAATTGCGACACTACGGATCATCGACGAACAATCAGTTGAGTAGAACTTGTCACTATACATCAACTTCATTGACTATAAGAAGGCGTTTGACAGTGTGGACAAGAGAAGATTATGAAAACTTCTTTGACACTATGGACTTCCTGAGAAGACTGTCAACATAATCCGGAACTCATACGACGGACTACAGTGCAAAGTCGTGCATGGAGGACAGCTGACAGATGCATTCCAAGTAAGGACCGGAGTCAGACAAGGCTGTCTACTCTCCCCTCCCTTTTCTTTCTGGTAGTTGACTGGATTATGAAGACATCGATATCTAAGGGAAAGCATGCAATTCAATGGACAGGTCGAAATCAATTAGAAGATTTAGACTTCACAGATGACCTTGCCCTTCTATCTCATACACACCAACAAATGCAGATGAGGACAACTAGTTTAGCGACAGTCTCTGCAACAGTAGGCCTCAGTATAAACAGAAAAAATCCAGTTCCTCGAATACAACACGGAGAACACCAACATAATCACACGTGATGGAGAAATTCTGGAAGATGTGGAATCCTTCATGTACCTTGGAAGCATCATCGATGAACGTAGAGGATCGGATACAGACATTAAGGCGAAGATTATCAAGACAAGGACAGCATTCCTAAAATTAAAGACTATATGGAACTTAAAACAACTGTCAACCAATTTCAAAGTGAGAATTTTCAATACGAACATAAAGACGGTCCTACCGTACGGAGCTGAAACTGGGAGAACTACTACAACCATCATCAAAAAGGTACAAGTATTTATAATTAGTTGTCTACGCAAGATACTCAACATCCATTGGCCGGATACCATCAGCAACAGCCTTCTGTGGGAGAGGATAATTCAGCTTCCAGCTAAAGAGGAAATTAGAAAAAAGACTTTAAAACTGTATAGGACATACATTGAGGAAATCACCAAACTGCATCACGAGCCAAGCTCTGACTTGGTATCCTGAAGGGAAACGGAAAAGACGAAGGCCGAAGAACGCACTACGTCGGGAAATGGAATCAGATACGAAAAAGGATGAATAACAACTAGAAAGGATTGCCCAGGAGAGGGTTCGATGGAGAGTGATGGTTGGCGGTCCATGCTCCTCCACGCGAGATAACAGGCGAATGTAAGTAAGTAAGTATATTCACTCTGCATGACTACATGGTTGTGAAACATAATCAATGAAGGTAAGAAGCAACGATGCTTAAGCTACTAATCATCAATTTTAGATATCTTTGATGTATATCCCATATATATTCAAACTTTTGAGTTAGTAATACTGAGGTTAGGAGTGCGTTATTAATAAAAATCATAAACTCTTTGATAAAGTGAAAACTTTCATCGACTCAGATCGCTAAGTCATATGCTATGTATGTCTTAGCCACTGCCTAGCCATATATTTAAGTTTGTTGGAATAACAGTAGAAATCGTGATGGCCAAAACCGTGTCGATAGGCGTAGTCTTTCTGGTTGAGGCTTATGTTTGGAGACTTTAAGTGATATAGTTGAAAATAGATCACAGTAACTTAGCCATTTTTCTTAAGATATACATTTCCCAATCTTCTACTCTAGAATTATTTTATGCTTCTTACTACTGTAAACTGTGCTCATTATCAGTGGAATTTTTTTACCACCATTTATACTATTATTACACAGACTGTTATAAATTTAATTGTGTTAATGTTTTATACTTATTCTGATAAGAAATATATCCACTTTTGTTCATTTGTCACATTTATCGCAAGTTGTACTCTATCTATAACAATTTGATCATAGTTTAAAAAAAAGAAAATTAAGAGGCACCATGAAACTTGTTTCATTTTACATCAAGATTGCATTGAGAATAACTTAATAAAAGTAGTATTTTCAATAGTTTAAATCATGAGTCGATTGAAGCTAGACTACCATGGAAAACCTGGAAGCACTGGACGGCCGTTTCGTCCTAGTATGGGACTCCTTAGCAGCGCGCATCCACGATACCGTCACTCGCGAGATCCGAACCCAGGACCTATCAGTCTCGCGCGCGAAGGCTTAACCATTAGACCACTGAGTCGGTATCCAACGGTGTTAATGTCTAAATTCGACTAATCCACGAAATTGAGAGACACATCCACCATAGTCTTCAGCGAGTTACTATCTCACAACAGACCCAGTTGAACTCCACTGGTAATGGCTTCTCAGTAGAACTCCAGGAAATGCCTCTTGAAGCCAGTCACTAGTGAGCGGATGATTATTATCAGAAGGGGTTTTATGGCGATTTTAGACATTTCAATAGTTGAAATCATGAGTCAATTGAAGCTAGACCACCATGGAAAAGTAGTATTGTTAAATAAACTACACAAAATACAATCCAGTAGTAGTAAATGTATAAAAACAAGATACAAATAAAGAATGAATCTAAATAGTATTGCTTAACACGATGTCATTTGAAGCGAGATGTACTAGGTTCGAATCCCGGAATAAACGTTGACTCTGGGATCCAGGTGTTCCCAGATGACTAATGCTAAATAAAACGAAACGCGCGTTTTAGGTTCTACTAGTAGCCATCATCCACCTCTGCTTATAATTTTTAATGATTGTTCTATAGATTTTAACCTGAAATTCCACAATTTCTCATACAGCTAACTCCTGTTTTTAGTATGACTGCCTTTAACCCTTTTTCGTATATTAGTCACCGTAACGCAATTATGGATTTTCTTTGTTTATGCATTTCCTAATATTATTTACTATATATCCCAAAATTACCGAAATCACAATTGATATTCTAATTCCGTTCTTAAAACTGCACAGAACACTGGGAAAGTACCTCACACCACCCAGTATTATTTTTCCTCTAAAACTCTTACGATAATATGCATAAAATACAACACAATAATATACCGTAAGTAATACAATATGCTATAAACAAAACTAGAAGATTCACGGTACAATTGTAAATAACAGGTTTATAACTTACTAACAGTAATATATGAACGTAAAGAAATGTAACAACTATTAAGGAGTTAAATGGTAGCTTATAATTAACGAGACGGGAAATATCAAAATAACAAGAACCAATCCTTTATTAAAAACGTCTACGGTCAACCAATATTTAATACACATGTAATGTTCATCGTTTCCAAGCGTTTTTCCGTTCTCCTAATGGGTAAGTACTGCATTTAGGAACATAAATTTCATTTGGGAACTTCATTTGAACCACCGAAAGCTATCTGCATATTTCCCCACTATGAATACGCCACTGAAGTGCATCCCAACTTACCGGATGAAAAAAAAACAAATTAGAGCATGAAGCGAAATCTTCAGTGGAAATTATGCTCTTATATGCAGTATTCACCGACCAAGTGAACGGAAAAATGCGCAAAAATACTTGATACTCTGAACATATTGAATATTGTAAAACGAATAAACTACAAATTTGCCGATGAATATAAAAATAAAAATTGTATATACTGCTTCATGGTGAAGAATAACTTTCAAAGTTTCTCATTTCTACTCCTCATCTCAGTTAAAACGAATGCATCAGTCAATATTTGTCTCCATTACTCCGTAAGGTTATGTTATGTCTAATTCATACTGGATACCGACTAAGTATTTCGGGAATTAAGCTTTCAACAAGAGACCTGATGTTCCTGGATTCCATCTCAGGTGGGATCAAGGATGATCACTATCACAGAGGAATCCTAGACTAAGACAAAACAGTTGCAGACATATCTGTGGAATACATGATGGCTCCCAAAACTGTCGCGTTATATCCAGGAACTGAATAAAGTTCATAACTTGGCTCATAGAATTACAATACAGTGGTCTACATGCAACAAACTTGTTGAAATATCCAAAAGTCACTAATCTGATTGACAAGAGGATTGAACTTTTAAAAAGTTCCAAATAATGAGTTAAGAAAAACTCTTCAGTGTTGTATGATCCTTGCTAATTTCCCGTCTACAATCCATTTCACTTGTTATAAATTAAATTCGTATGCATCATAACAATAGTAAACTATTGTTGAGTGGTTTTAAGAAAGATATGTTAAGTTCCAGACGTGATATATTTTGATTTATGAATAAATGAGACTTCATTCCAAATATTAGATCTCTGCAACTATGGAATAACGACCAGTACTAAATGATACGAAAATTTCATATGTTCATGGAACACAATAATCTAGGAGATTTCACTAATCAGTTATTTGAATTTTACATTGAATTTAATACAATGTTCATAGCTTACTTTCAAAACTTTCTATCAGTAGCGATAACATTATGTACACTAATGATATAAAAATCTTTGTTTTCCATGAAAAGGAACTATATGAAGTGATTGAAATGACAAGAAATCAATTAAAGTTCACGAATGTTTCTAGTAAGAGACATGTGCTACATTGTTATTAAACAGTTGATACAACTTAACTACTTATATATTAGACAAGTAGTTTAAACTTCTTACAAAAATTATTTTAACATAACTACAACTTTTTATAGTTATACCGACTAACTTATCACTGAATGATTGAGTACAAGTCGGTTCACCTTCCAAATTTGATAACAAGATAATGAAGAGTACCTAAGTTAATTGACAATTGAATTTTCTTTTTAGTAGCTTCTTTAGTTAAGACATCTTTCAATATAGCAATTGTAGAGAGATTGTCCGATTGGAGATTAGCATAACCTTTTGCATAAACGCATTTCAATTGACTTTTAAGATAAATTGATTTATAGAACAGTTGCGCAGATTCTTCACTATCGTGACTGTCATTTTTATCACCTTGTTTTGTATCCGAATTAATTAATGTGGGCCTTTCAGGGGTTTCAGGTAAGCACATAGATAACCAATTATGCATTTCCGTTAAAGAGAAATTTCCAGTTAGTTGTAAACTGTTCCAATATCTATTTACGACATAAAAATAAGAAAAAAACTCCTTAGGTTTCTCATATTGACAAAATTAGGATCAAACTATGTGTGTACACTAAATTGAATCGATAAACAATATGAATAGCTCTTGGAAAAACTAGGGAGTGTTGAATAGACCGTTTAGCCAAACTTCCCTATATATGTGGATCATTGCTACACTAATCGACTGCTCAAAATCGAAACAAGAAATAGAGGGAATCTCAGACTATATAATCTATCAGTTAAAACCTATTTAACTAGTCATCACTACATATTATATTAAATCACATTGTCAAAATATCCTTTTAACAAATAAATTCATGCTTCACTAGTAATATCAACTATTATATGACTGGTAGATGTGTAGTCTCATTGTTTGTTTGGTAATATTCATTTTCGACTTTGGTCAACATTTTGACATTTAACCATAAGTATAAAAATCAGAGATTGAATTCTTGAAAGTGTAAATTCAGTCAGTTGGTCAGTGATTATTTTTCTCTGGAATTTTAAGTCAACATGAAACTTGGAGGGTTAATTCCGTGAATAAGCAAATCCATTCTACCACATCAATCATCCCTGTAATACAGTAAACTCACCTTTTTAACGGTTCATCTTCTATATGATGAGTTAAACAATGTAATGATAATGGATGTATTAATAGCTTAATACATTTACATGTAACCATATTTGATAAATTTATTTTTGGTACCACATACACAGATACATGACCGTAACGACCTTCAACCGTACGAAATTGAATGTCAAACCGTGTTGTATTCACTTGGCACCGATACGTTGTCAATAATGCATTCCCGTCCTAATCAAAATCAAGTAGAAGAGAATGAATGTGTAGTTAAAAATATAAATCAACATTTTAAGTGATTGGTCAGTGATATTGTGCATGCCAGTTATGCTGACAGATATACGTAGTGTGTAGCATCAGTCGGGAGCGTAATGTATGCGAGCAGAAGGTCGAGAAGATTGAAATGAAGAGAAAGAAACTGAAAGTAATCATGATAACAACAGGAATAAAGGAACAATGAAGCTTGTTAGAGACAATTCGAAGATGTGCAAATGATGTATTTGATGTATAATTTTCACATTTTAGTAAACCACTGTGTGAGTGAACATTGAACAATAAATCGGTCTTCCCCATCTGAGTGTTCATTCACTGCATTTCATGTAGCTGCCAAATAAGAGGCGGAAAGGGTGAGATTCTGCGGATAGTTGGGGTGGTCTGGTGCAGAAACGTGACATCGATAAGAGTGTTCTGTCGGGTTGGCGTCGGCTGTAGCAGCCGCCGTTGGCGGAGAGGAGTAAGCTGACGGTCTCTGGGCGGACATCAAATTTAGATGGCCTTGCAGGTTGACATTGCTACGAAGGTCAAAGCGCCGGAAGACTCGACGTTTCGACGGAGAGTGTGGCACAAGCTGTGGGGAAGAAGGAAGCGGCATAAGGAGCAGAATGTCCGCAAGGATGACTTACGTCTAAAGGGAGGACGAGTGTAGTGCCAGCTATATTATGTTGATAGATATAGGGAGTATGTAAAACGAAAGTGAAATGCATGTCTACAGAAGATTGGGAGAATTCAACTCAAGAAAACAGAAAATAATCGTGGTAACGACAGAATTGAAAGAATCACGATTCATGTAAACGATAACAGATGGAAGATGTGCAAATTATGTATTTAACATATTGTTTTCATATTTTATGAAAGCACTCTGTAATTTTGTAATAAACAATAAATTAATCTTCCCCGCCTGAGTGTTCGTTCACTTCAATATGGATATTGAACTATACTGAGTGATGGTTCGGATAGTCCTATATATATAGTCGTTAAGCGATTATTGTTATTCTCTTAGAGAGAGAATCGGTCGTATTTTTCCATGTTTTACCAGTATAACTTATCCAACCATAGTTTGAAATTGAATTAGTTCTAAATCTATCAAACATATATTTATATAATCAGTTGTCACAGATACTTGTTTTTGTTCTAAAGTTATCTATGTACTACTATGTTGTTCAAACTGAAATTAAGTAGATTTCAAAATTGACACCTAGTTACTGATATGACGGGATGAAAAGTCAAAATTAGATTGATTTATTGATTATGATTTTTGGTTCAATATTAATTCCGTTTTAATTCAATGTAATCATTAGTTAGTAAAGTATTTGTTTCTGTTCTCCCGTATGACATTCTATTCTGTATAGCATACGATATCCTTGTATTGAATGAACATGAAATATACTCAGCATGTAACTCGTTATAACAGTAAGTATTTTTCATATATGTGATTTCATCCTACTTATTAATCAAAAATGGGTTTATGAATCAATATATAAATGAGTGTATTTCCAACTAGTCTGGTTGTGGTTGTTTGTGCTTTGGCTGCTTGTGGAATATATTTCCCTCTTCCTAACTTGAACTTCTCTCTCTAGTTAGCGGGGCTGAGACGCGTCAGAATAGCTAGCTTATCTGTCATTCTGTCACAGAGTCTTCGTTCGATTCTCAGATCAGGTGAACTCGTAATCTCTTCAAACATAGCATTGCTTTTTATCAGGGTTGTTTTCTACGAAATGGAGTTGCTGAGCCCATGTTCGACCCTCAACCTTTATATAGGCTAGGGACCAACAGTGACCCTGAACGGACTATAAGTAAAGTTATAAAATAATGAACTTATGAATAAAATCACTCCCATATATTAAGTTTTGAATTAAATGAACCACACAGTATGAGTTTCATCGATAGCATTTACAGGACATGAATCATCCCTTGCTTTTTCTTTAGCTTATCTGTCATTGTATCACAGAGTCTTTGTTCCGTTCTCAGATTAGTTTAACTCATAATCTCTTCAAACATATCAGTTGCATAACCATTAAATTACTGTTTCATATTAACAAAACAAAGACCTTTAGTAATACATTGTAACACTTACATCTTTTGTACATTCACTTGAACTACTTACAGCTGTATTCTCTTCAATGTCGAATAAATCAATTGGACAATTACTTTGTATTAATATATGATCAATTGGTATTTGGGTTTCGATATTTAAACAATATACAGATAGGTCTTTATTTAAATAAAATTTATAATCTAATTCTAATGGTATTAAAATAATTTGTTCTTTTTCAATTTGTTTTTGATTCAATTTCATTAATTGTAATTGATTTTCTAAATTTGAAATTTCTTCACTTTTTTTGATAAAAAGAAGAAAAAAACAAAATTGAACATTGAACAACATCTCTGTGTTCATCATAAACATTGAACAATGAAATTAGGCGAGACTAAAATTGATGAACGAGCCAATCAGAAGCGTTTAAGGGATTTCAAGGTCATGGCGCTAATTTCAGTACCTAATGCTTACGTACGATCGATTCACAGTGGATCTGGGAGAAAATGTGATAATTGAACAGCTATAAAAAATGGGACTATTAAGAAGTTTCTTCATTTGTTATTGTGATAATCAAATGACTTGTGGACTTTGTGCAGACTACCGTGATGATGTTGTCTTTCGATGTAATATGTGCTGGAGGAAGAAGTATGTTAGTATGTTTTCGCTCGATCCAGATTGAGACAAAACAATTGTTGCAAACTCGATAATAAAAGCACCAGTAACACTGGCTGCAGCCGGGTACTATAATATATACGGATGATTGGATAGCGTACAGATGCCTACATACACTTGGTTATGTGCAGCGTGTCGTTATCCACAAGTGGTATTTTGTGGACCCAACAACCGGAATGCACACAAACAATATTGAAGCTACGTGGCCGAAGCTGAAAAAGTTTTCATGACCTTATCGTGGTTCGAGAGGCCGACCATTATGAATCCATATGGATGATTTCCTCTACTGCACGCATTATGATTTTAGAACCTATGAACCTCTTTCTAGCCTTGACAAGTTTTTGAACCATGCAAAATAAATGTATCCACTTTAATTCTTTGGTTTTGTATAATATATTTCTACTCATAACTAACTTTTCTGATTGGCTACTAGTCCTCAAGGTCACTTAAGGTTCGTTCAAAGGTTGTCCATAAGTTATAGTCTCACCACCATCTCCTTTTGAAGACATAAGTCAGATTTTTGACGTCTAATAGCAACGGCTTCAGTAAACTTCAGAAGATTGGAGTTTGGCTGCTTACTAATCACCTTGAGAGATTGCAAGTTATGAACTTAATGCTTTGTATCAAGGAGATGTTTGGTAATTACACTGTTTAGTCTTTCTTTCTCTTGTTCTGAGGCTTTTTGAAACATGTTCAAAAACTCTAAGATATAGCCTTCTTTTTGTTCGGCCAATGTAGCTGTTTTGACGGCGTAGACCAAACATCTCCTTGATACAGGAAATCAGGTTGATAACTTGCAATCTTTCAAGGTGATTAGTAAGCGTTCGAAATCCAGTCTTCCGAAGTTTGCTGAAGCCGTTGCTGTCAGGCGTCAAAAATCTGACGTGTTCAAAAGGAGATGGTCAATAATCTTTCCTTGCCTTGGTGAAAAAATATTTCTTCGTTGCATCTTGTAATTTCTTTTTGACTCTTTCTTTCACTTATTACATCATTGAGTGTTATTTAAACTACCTTTCAAGTTAGTAATCTTATTTTATCAACTAAGCTCTATTCACCATATTCCTGTCAATGTTTACTCATTATGTAATCACTTGTTTCTGGACGTTTAAACTGTTGTCACAATCAATGTTGTGGAATGTTCTTTTATATTTACAATATTCAATCTATTGAATTTATTTACACCCTTGCTATACTATACTAATGTAACTTTAACGTAACTTCCAACTAAACTTTTTCATGTAAGTAATTTAAACCCATTTCGTAATTATGTTTTAAATATCACAGGTTGTAAGCAGTTGACAAGAACCAACGAAATAAAATGAATTCATGCCATTCAGGGTCGTGAATCCTGAATCTGATATAACGCCTCATTATCGTATTGACGTATTGTCTCAGTGTACCTAAGAGTCAGAAGAATATTTAATACCATCCGTTATATCAAAACCCGGTAAAAAACACCCTAGATTACCGAAAGTGACATTGAACAACATGGTTATCATCATCGAATGACCACTATTGGCTAGATGTAACAGAAATTAGCTATATAATAGACTTTTTTAATCCATTTGAGAACCAACTCTTGTGATTTCAAAATAAGCACACCCAATGATAAACCCCTTGCCAGTCATTTCTCCAAGTAAAATTATCTACAAAATCTCTATTGCTCTAAACTACGACGGAATACCTTTAATGTCCGAGATGAAAGTGTGTGAATAACAGGAAACACAAAAGGCAACCATCACAGCAACTGGTTACTCACTTTAATTTATCCACTTTTGACATAAATTGAAGTTCCATTACGTCAGGTTGATCGAAGATTGTTTCTTTTCTGATTGGTTGTGTAGTTAAACCAAAAATCAAACCTTGAGAGCCAAGACATGAAAATGCAGATTATTAATTTGACTACTATAACATTTGCAAGTAGTATAACCGTAGTACAAAAGCTCATACTTAAATGTTTGGGATACAATTCTCTAGATTGTTACAGTAAAATAGTTCTTTCTTTTGAGGGAATCGATGCACAAAGCTGAACAAACATAAATGCACACTGTTTTACCCCCACTTTAATAAACAATTACATGTTGTTTCGGCAGTAATATAAATTTACTGAACACAGTAACGGAAAAGGAATGAAAATTCACTCATACCAAAAGACACTGAAAATGTAATTGATGAGAGCTTATATGCTTATGAACAACATCTTAAGGTTTAGACAAAGATTATTAATTGTGAAAAATAGTTATGCAACATGACAAGATAACATTTAAAAATCGAGATGAAATGTAATCAAGTAGGACACGGAGAAAGAAATAAGTAGGTTAAGAGTAAAAGTATAGTTCAGTAAAAAAGAAGAAGATAGTGTGATGGATTTGAAGAAATAGGGGGTTAAGACCATGACAGAACAAGGAATTGAATAGGTTCCTTCATTATATGCATAAAAACAAAACATACCAGTATATGTAATGCATAAAAGTTCCGGATAATTTACATTAGAAAACCGACCAGCCATCACGGATGTTAAGTGATAATTCACTTTCTAAAACATGAAAAAAAGTAAATGAAACATTAAAGTTCTAAATAAAAAAATACAACTTTTAGTGTAAATACGACATCTACATACTTTTTACTATGGGAGTCAAGGAATATATAGTCTTCAAAGAGGATGAATTCAAAATGACATTCCTGGGTAATTTCCACAGTAATACGAAGACCATTGTATGAATTTTATTACCGAATGCTATTGCTTTGGGACGTATTCGTTTCTATCAATGATCGTAGGCAACCTTCGCTGATTGGTAATATCTAGCTTAAAAAACCGAGGCCTTATGTTTATTGCTTTTAGTCATTTTATATCAAACAAAATTCACTGTGATCTTCACACACTTGAACAATTCATCGATAGAATTTGATATGCGTTGAGAACGAAACAACTTGACAGACGTCACTATTCAATGATCAGTAAATGAAACGAAAGGTTGCGCATGATCATGGATTGATCGTATTCGGACATTAACACTGCTGGATGCCGATTAGGGGCTCTATAGATGAAGCGTTCGTGTGGGACCGAAGGTCCGGGGTTCGATTCCCGTGCGTGGGGCCAAGGATGCACACTGCTAGGTATTTCAATACTAGGCCGAAACGGCCATCAAGTGCTTCCAGACTTTCAATGGTATTTTAGCTTGGATCGACTAGTGATGTTAATAGCGAAAATATAGTTTAAAAAGACAGGAATGAAAATAATCATTGGTTAGTTTTTCCTCTGACCTTTACTTTCAACCTTGATTAGTCATTTAGCAACTGATAATTAACTCGAGGTCATTATATTCTGCCTGAATAATTGTCTATCAATAATAACTCTTTTGAATTGTTACAATCGCTTTAGACAATGGTAACATATCACGCCGCGAAACTGGGTTTGAATCTCATAGAGCATATTAGCACTCTATTGAGGCTATGGAATCTATAAATATAAATTAGGAAGAACGGTATCTGTTATATCCGAGCGAAGATTAAATCACGAGTAACTCCTGAGACATATTAATTGACTAATATTACCTAGATTGTAAATTTAGAACAACATAGATATAAGTGAACAATATTGTTTTGAATTGGATCCTCATTAGGTTTTACTCTAATATACAGTAATATTTATATGCATATACGAAATCATTAAACCAATCAAGGTAGTTTATGAGTCAATAATAACAATGAAAACGATTACATAATAAGTGATTTGAACCTTTATTATTCTTATCAAAACTAATTCACCTGTTGTCACACCATCAATTTGTACTTTTCCCATTTCACTTATTATGTAATCGTTTTCATTGTTATCATTGACTCATAAACTACCTCGACTGGTTTAATAATTTCGTATATGCATATAAATATTATTGTATATTAGAGTAAAGCCTGATGAGAATCTAATCGAAAACAATATTGTTCGCTTATATCAATGTTGTTCTAATATTATTTATATATTCTTATGGTATAATTATTCAATAATTAGATTATGTGAATTTATATTCCTCTTATTATAAGCTTTATTTTGATCTATAATTTATTACTGTACGATTTACGGTTCTTAAGCCATGCTCAGTTTACTGACTACTGCCTCCCACGTTCACAGCCACATTTGGCCAAATATTGTACAAATGTTATTTTCTATTTTATGGTACGTTGTGGTCTGTCTGGTTGATATATAAACCGAGTATGTTTGAAATAAATGATTCATATTGCAGAAGCTGGTATTGTGTTCTAAACTCAAGCGAATGGGCTAGGCGGACATAGGACCAATAAGGACGATAGGCTGCTCATATTGGTTGAACGTCATTCGTTTGGCATAGTGCTAAAATTGTATAAGTCGTATTTTGATCGGTGGACAGATCATGTGATAAAAGCCGGACATAAAGTCATAACAGTATCAATATAGCTTTAAGATGAATTTTTGTTACATTAATTTTTGTGTGAATTCTATTATCAAAATTTATCAAAGGAACTAATTGTTTTGAATTCTAGTAATTGACCTTCAACCCATTTTTCACTATAAGTTGTGTTCATCGATAATTACTCAGTTTTCATAGTTTACATCAAGGACATATCTTAGTTAGATCATCATTGAAAACCAAGAAGCACTGAAAAGCTGCATCACCCTAGTACTGAACTCCTCAACAGTGCGCATCCATGACTTCACTGGAGATTAAACCTAAAACCCTCAAATCAAACAGGAAGCATGGTATCATGTAATCAATAAACCAGTATTCAACAAATTATATTTTCAACCATAAAAACTCTATGATATATATACCAAGATCTCCATAACATTTCAGTGGCCAGTAATTTACTGACCTCTGGCTTACATCTTATCACCAGGATTGAAAGTAATGAGTTTGATCCCATATTTTGAAGCCGTGAGTGCGTGCTATTAAAGAGATCCATTTAAGGTAAAAATATCTGTCCGATGCAGTCTAGTTTTGAACGTTTCTCAAGATAATATCAGTTTTTGATGAAAGTTTCTACCGTTATCAAACTCTCGACATATAAATAATCTCCATAAAACTTTTTAACGTATCTATCACTCACCGTTTCATACATCAGTAATGGATATTTATGTTGATCATATTTATACAGTTCAATTCTTCCATTTGTGAAAGCAACAATTAATACCTCTTCAGTATTTTCACTATCACCATCATCATCATCATCATCATGATTGCTATTGTTTTTGTTATCGTCATAATTCAACATATCATAGTGTTCCAGTGATAGAATTTCACTCGTACCAAATTTTGATGAGGCTTCCCATATTCTTGTGACATTTTCACTAAACAAAACAATAACAATAATAGTAGTAGTAATAAGTATAAAGTGAGGAATAAAAGATGCTATCAGGAAAGCGTAAATCGATAAAATTACTATTTGTAATGATCTCTGTATTTTTGTTGTCAATATTTACGATAATGTGTTTTATTAGTATCTGTTTGTATAAGCGGTTTGTTCAATGGATGTCTTAATAAATACTGCTTGCGCTTACATGATTATGATACTAGTTTCTAACAGTGGAACCCACATCATGGATTTCATTAGCTGAGTATACTTATATCGCACTGACAAACCCAACACCTAGTTCTTTGAATGTTGAGTTATCCGCTAAGCTAGTGAGTCAAGATTATATTTAGCTTATTTAATAGTTGTATCAAAAGAGACTGTTCTAATGTACCTCAGAATGTTAACAACACTAAAACATAAATCCTAATGAATAATAGTATGTAAATTTAAAAATAACTCACATATGGATATAATGACTAGGTTATTCTAAAGAAAAGAGATTCAAATATTATATTAAGTTATTCAAGAAACTGACGTAACTACATAAGAACCAAGATCTTTATAAAAACTAATCATGGAAAAGTAATCAATACAAGGATGCATTGATGAAGACCGAAAGAAATGCTTCTTATCAGAATCGAAGATTTATCCAGATTGTCTGCGTTGAAGACAGTTTAATTAAGCTACCCAATTACCGAAAAATATAAGGCAATAAGAATTTGGTTTGTACTTATATATGACTTATTTAGTATCCACACCCACGAGTTCCTAACACGGATCAAACTCGTGACGTTCAGGTTTCAAAGTAAATGTGCTCCCATTATTCTACTGAGTTAGTATTACAGAATATAATATATTCAATAAGCCAAATAAATTGACAAACTTGAATTATTTATACTGCAGTGTTTTCAAAAGTATTAGTAAACTTAAAGAAAGTTACCATTTCAAAATAACAACATTCATTAAAAAAAGCCCTGTGACTTCTCACTCTCATGTACACCTCTTTCCTTACGGGTTTGAACTAAGAATCTGCAACTCTATCAGTAACCATGTTGCTATACAGTCGTTAGGTTAGCAGATTACAGAGAGTTGATAATTACTCTCTCAATTATATTGACAAAGCTTATCGTTGAAATAGTTATCTTGATCATTTGATATGGTTGATTTCATACACTTCAGTATAACGTTAGAAACTAAAGAAATTTATCTAAAAATCAACAGTTAATTATAATAAATAAAACTCCAGTCAATCAAATAATCAGTCACGAATTGATTGAAACTAGAAACATCAACAGTTGGATGCTAACTCAATAGTCTAGAATTTGAACCTTCATAGAGAGAAATAACGACCCCTGGTTTTCAAAGAATATATAATTAAGGTCAATCTCTTACGTAAAGTACAAAATTTATTAAAAATGTATTTATTTAATCTATGATGCTCTATTCACAATCCTTTCATACAAATGCATTTAAAGATATATTAACATAGATAATATTTACCTTGTCACTTGAAAAAGACCAAAATAACCTTCTGATGTTCCATACATTAAATAATTTGATGGATAACTTTTATGCGCTCTATTTATGGTGACTGGTGAACTAGAAATTTCCAATTCGCATAACAGTACACCATTCTAATAAATAAATAAAAAACAATAAGCAGTAATATCAAGATTTTAATTGTTCAAAGATCCTCATCATATTAAAAGATTCATATTTGAATGAAGAATATTCTTTTCGATAAATTCTCTTCAGGTTCTATAATTATCGTATATCCAAATAAATAATCTGAAAAATGGCCAGCTTAAGGGCAACGTATAATGTTTAAAGTGTGTGAATTTAGGATTGTGATAAACAAAATACAATAAAATTGTTAATGTTGATATTGACTCAGACAGAATGTTAACTTGAATCTGCGTATATGTTAAGTAAAATTTTAAGATCCATGATCAGAATAAAAATGGGTCAGATAGGGTGAGAAAGAAATAACAGTGCAATTACAAATTCGATCAAATTAGTAAGATGTAATAAGGAGGGATGAATACGAAGTGAATGAATCATGTATAGGCGAATGATGTTTAACCAATAATAGTAATGATAATAATAATAATAATATTAAAGAGGAAGAATGTACTTGTAAAATCTCAGCGAAAGAATTTGAAGTAAACCCAACGTTTCGACTGACAATCTGGTCCAAGCTCTTTCAAGGAAAATATAATCAAACAACAAAATGATCGAATATAATAATAATGCAAAGATTTGTGAATAAAGATAACAGGCTACGAAAGGTCGTAGTCAAAGTAGGTCATTCAATAGCTGAGATTACTATTGATTAATTGGTCTTGATGTTGGCCAGGGGAGGAGGAGTGGTTGAATATATTTCTTCTGTACGCATAGCTGTGGTTTCTTCATCCGGATGGCTACTGCTTCAGACGTTTGAAGAACTTTAAGTCTGACAAGCTTTGGCAAAAAATTACTGACTTTATAAATAATTGAAAAAGATTGGTTTATACTGGCACTATGACCAGTTTGTACTAAAAGGGCCAATATCGAGCTGTTCATTTTCTTCATCAAACCTTTGTTCAGCCACACTGGGAGTTGTTCACAAGCATGAAAATGTAAATTCCTAGAACTTTGACCAATATAACTCGCTCCACAGGAGCAGTTGAACTGATAAATACAAAATGAGGTGGTCATTCTAGGCAATTTATCTTTTAGCCTCAATGTCACCACTGGGCGCGTAGAAAACATTAATCACATTTCCCCGGCGTTAAAAAATTTCTGTAACATCTTACGTAATCTCTGAGTTACTATTTCACTAGCCGCGTCCCCTCTGATTGATTAATTTGGATCTATAATTATAGAACCTGAAGATTTATTGAAAAGAATATTCTTCTTTCAAATATTCGTCTTTTAATATCAAAATTTTTATGAAACATAAAATAGAAAATTTTAATATTTTACTTACTTTCAAAATACGTATTAATTTATCTTTACAAGCAAGAACAACAAGTGGTATTGAACATGTAGCATCATTATTAATCACATATATACTTGTAATAATATCAGGTAATAGAAGAAATTCAGTATCTTTAAAATTTGTTAATTGTTGATACATACATCCTACAGTATAATAAATATTTGTAGATTGTATAAACCTAAATAACTCAAAGAAAAATAACCACGATTATTTGTTTTAATTAGTTAACATACATTGAGTTCAAATGACCTTGAATAGTTGAAGGATATTCAAAAATTTGTTTTCCTTTTAATGTAAATCCAGATATATTAAAATTATGACAAACACTAATAATACGTTGTTTCTCATTATTTTGATATGTTCCAATACAAATACATGTAATTGGTGATCCCACAGAAAATTTTGTATGCTATTAGAAATATACAAATATATATACATTACAACAACGTTTTACTCTATCTTATTTACCTTTAATCCATTAATATATTGAAATGAATGTATATCACCAGTAGTATCTGCCACAATTAATTTACTCTTATAATGTTTGTTAGATAATGCCTTAGATGGTAATAAGAGTTTTGCAGAATTTCTAAAGGTTGTTTTTATCTAAAGTAATAGGTAGTAAATTTTGTTTTATATTTTTTCCATACAGATGCATAATGTGTTTGATGAAGATTAAATGACATTGAACATTCAATAGTGTTGTTTTAATCAAATTAGTTTCTACGCGTCAGTCAGTCAGTCAGCTACAACATAGGCTGAAAATATGTATTTAAAAAAAAGTTACATTAGTTCATTTTAAGAGTAAGTACAGAAAAAGTATAAACGAATTTACCCGGCGATTTACTTCAGTAACTTGTTACTGTCAGTAGCATGATAAAATATTAGTGAAAAAAGTAAATATTACGTAAAAATGATCCAATTGGAATGATGGTAAGATTGGCATGAAGTTAATTTCATTAATTCTACATCTATAATATCGAGTAAAAACTATTTGCAACAGAATGTTAACGATTCGAAATTATTTTATCATTAAGCATAGATTTGAATGACACCGTCACACTTTCTAGATATCAAAAACCTTAGAATTTGAAATAGTAAACAATACGACTCATATATCAAGTACATATTTATGTATTCAGCTCTTGGTCACACTTTCTTATGATCGGTAACATTACTACATTTTTAAATGAGTTAATTTTAGCCATGACTTCTATTTTATTTTGCATTGTTAATTATTCCCCATCACATATATTTGACATGATATACTTTTTGAAGAAACAATACCCAGGTAATTATATTTTAAGTAGTTCATATTGACCAAATATCGTCTAGAAGACTTTTCCAGGTGTGGGGTACTACATTACTATTAAGTTTTCATATCATTCATACAAAACTTAAGATACGTGTAGGAGTGAAATCATCAAACACTGACAGCTCTATGCTTTTAGTGTAACAACAAGGATCCAGTTGCATGAAATTTTCTAAACTACACAGACATGAAGATGTAAATAAGACAAGATAATATGAAATGGCTTCTAACCGAGAGGTACTGAAAAGTCGAAATGAACATTTAACTTGTTACTTAAAATGTTTTGTTTTCATATGATTAGGAATTTAAAAAATGTTTCAGTATACTTGAGGAATAAACTAAAAATTTCGTTAACAAAATTCCGATGACTTGAATTAGATGGATGAAACTTTTAGTATAAACCAGTCACTTAACCAAAATTACGTTATTTCAAACAATTCAGTAAAAATACGTCACTCCACAAGGATGGAATTCGATTTCCTGTTGCTTCAATTTAATATCGAAACAACAAAGTGACGTAATGAGAATTAAAATAGGTTCTAAAAGTTGCTTTTGAGATTTTAGAAAAACGACCACTAAATATGAAGTTACTATTCATAAACCAGTATTTATCATTTATTCATCTTTATGTTACCCTAAAAACAATTACATTTTGGTTGTTTCATAATAAAACACAGAAATTACATTGTATAACCAGCACTGTGAGTTAGTAATTAAAAGATATGAATTGATTAATGGATTGAAATAACTATATAGAAATTAAGTATGCAGTTCAAGCCAAACATTTTTCACCTGTTCAAAATTCTACAGAGAAAAATAGGTTAGTTAGTCAGTTATAATTATCGTATAGTCTCATATGAATGTATTTTTGCTCAAGCTGCCGCACCACATTAGCAAAATGAGATGATAATAAAAAGATAACTAGAAAAGGAGTTGAAATGACGACAGCATCAATTTTAATAAATACCAAACGTTAAAAACCTGGTTCAAAAAGACAATGTAGAAAGGTATAAAAGGGATGCTAGAATTAACGATCGAGAAGTTGGAGAGTGAATGGATTTGCATCATTCTGATTGATTCTGGGACATATCACTAGTGTTTCCGACCAATAAACCCGATCATAGCAAAGACCACAACAACATACTCCTTACCTATCAACATACATCAAACCAAGTTCTTGACTTAATTGACTGATCCAATACATCAAATTAGGACCGCCCAAGGTTCTTTCGACTCGCTTCCACAAAAGAAGAAAATTTCACATCGAAGTACGCAGTAGTTGGGAATATGCAATAAATAGCCAATCACCTCAACTGATGGACTAATGAATAGAGTTTCACCAACCTACCTGCTACTCTTATGACTCGCTCAGTTTTTCCACGTTTTTCAAACAATATTTATAGGACATCTCTGATCAGACACCTTTGGTCTATATATATCTTCCACAAGCTCTCTAACCTACCCTCCACCCTACATATGCTTGGTCAGCTGATAAAGAGACTTATTGTCAATGAAAATCTGTCATCTGTCATAGAAAATATAGATTTTCAGTTCAGTTAGCCAGATAATATAATTTTGACCGACCTCGTTAAAGTTTAATAGTTGAGAATGCAGCAAAAATCAAATAACAAGTGCATCACAATGGCAAGTTGCCACTATATTTGTGACTTTTTAAATATATTTTTTAATCTTTAGGTTTAAATGCCTACAACAAAATATGATGCATAGAAACATTTTCAAAATTATTGACTGCTGGAATCAAAACAACAATAGTTAGCTAAGTTCATGTTTCTGAAGCAACTAATTTTGCGGACCAGCAGAAGAATATTAATAATCGCATCTATCTGTTTGCCAAATATCAAATTAACAATTGATGGTCAGTAGACATACCGCCGAGAAATTTCTCAGTGAATTATCAGTTCAACGTGTTTCTGAATACGGATAACTAGAAAACAAACAACTAAAATGAGGATATTTTCACTAGATTCGTAAATTATTAATCTTAAGTTACGTCTCACTGTACTTAACAGTATATTCAGAGGTAACGAGACATATAAAGCAAACGATCCATGGAATCCGTCAACGGATACTCATTTACAATTTCATGGGCCAACTGTGATGTTTACTCAGCAAGTAAGACTATAAAATCTAAAATCCACACCGTAAATTCATACTAAAGTTTTAGTTTAATGTTTAAACATCATCAATCCTAATTTGAAAAAGCCACATTGACTTACCACTCACAAAATACAATTTTAGAAAAGAAAGTGGACATAACTTGTCAAATTGCTACGAGAACATAGTTTCACGAATTGCAGGATCATTTGAAAGCGTGAAATGCGAAAGTAAATCTAGGAAGGTCTGTGATTGTTGTAGTTGCTGTTTCCATTTAATAAAATCATAGAAACAGTCTGTTACGAGCTCGAAGTCAAATGCTAATATGAATGAATCTTAACAAGACAACTTAATTTGTATGGTCAGTGTTATTTTTCTAGTGAAATATTCCAATGTTGTGCGGAAGTGCATTTTTTAAAGTTATAACATTATAAGTTAAAAGAGATCATATGATAAATTAGACAGCAAGTGTCATGAATTAATAAAAAAACACACTATAAAAATCAGCAGAAAGTGGGATCAGGCGCAAAAAACGTTAAGATAAACACAATGATTGTTATTAATTTTATGGATCTAAATTTACGGAAAAGTGAGCTTCTGTTCACTAAGCAGAATCAAAACCTGATGACAAATGACTGTATTACCTGGGTAATTTCATATCATTGCTTTAGCCTGGTTCTTTTGACGAAAGATAAAGATTTACCTTAGTAGCTCGAATCAATATTTATGTTGTATAAAATAATAATTTTTCTAGGGTCGTATTGGTCTTATTCGAAGTCGTAATGAGCATAAGATTTGTGGCGAAATAATCAGTTTCACAGTTTAGGTAAACTGACTTGACCTGAGGCTGTTGAAGAAATTCAGTAACTCTTTACATTGGAATGAGTAAGGTCGACAAACTGTGTATAACTTGGAGTTGCTGAAGCAGAATCGTAAGCTATGTATTCAAAACAGGATTACATTGTATTCTGTGATAAACATTGCTACTAATTTGACTAAATGTTTAGTCTTATGCTTTCTGTGTTTAGCTTCATCTTTAATTTTCAACATCTCGTAAGTGTTGGCTGAGTACAAGTCGTTTACAGTATATGTATGATTAATTTAATATTTTTTTATTAACATGCAAACCCATTCAACCAACAAAGGGGAAATAAAGGCGAAAATGCGTTGGAAAATAAATGGGAAGTAAAAAAGAAACTCGCCAAAATGTCTGCTTTTTCGCCTAAATATACGCCGAATTGTGTGATTAATCACACAACAGGTTTACTTAAGTATACTTAATAACAACAGATCATTATTTGCTGACTTCTGGTCGAGCTACTATGAGGTCTACAATCTGATTTCAATAAGTGGAGAGCGGATATTACCATTAAGTTCAAAAGAAAGAACCAATAACATATAGCTATATGTTAATGGTTCTTTCTGGAAGCGAATGTCTGTTCCAAATTAACTAATAAGCAAAAAATGAAGCCATTGAATAGTAACATGACGGATCGTTATTTTTGAAAAGTTTAAAAAGATTTTGGTGGTTTAAACCACAGAAAGTACTTTCTGCATAGACGAATTCGTCTAGACGGAATTTAAATTTGTCTATCCAGAAAGTACTTTTTGAAATGAAGAAGAATACGGGGTAGCTTGAATGATGAAGGCTTAAAAGGAAAAGGACAAAAGAAAGAGTGTTTTGAAGACAGAACAAAAGCACGTAATACACTCACATTCATTGGATAAAGCAGCCAAACAATTCGAGATAGTAGAGTTTCTTGGACGCGATGATAATAGTCATTTGGCACACTAAAACAAGTCTACTGAACTTACGAGAAATTAAATTGAGCCACTTAATCAGTCGCCGCATTTTTAAAAAAAAATTTGTTCATCTGTCATAGTCCTAGTTGACAACCTCTCAATCTTGGCTCCCCTGGGATAAAAAAGCGATCACGCCGTTATAGCTTTCAGTTTCGTCAGTAAAACTGAGCTAAGATATCCCACCAACAACTTGCGCTGGAATTTCAAACGATTGAATGTCTCAGCTTCACAGGACTATCTACAACACGTGGATTGGGATATTCACCCTCAACTCGATGTGGATGCTCATTGAGACTTCTTACAGCATACGCTCATGGTGCCACAAATCATTCAGTTCCTCAAACGGTCCTCCATAGCTATCAGCGACCCACAATCATCAGGAACCACACTCTTCGCCTGCTAGGCCGCAAAAGGTACTGTTTGGCAGAGTACAAACGAACTGACAACAACGGAGCGTACAGGCAATACAATCATATAAGGGACATATGCACGAAGGCTATGAGATGACAGGCTTCAGTACCAGACAAAGCTTATGGACAAATTTGTCTCTAATCCGAAAAGCTTATTCCGTTGCGCAGACTATCTTCGTCAAGCCAAAACTGGAGTTTCCCAACTGCTAGGTCTTAACGGCCCTACCAACGACGATGGCGACGCCACTAACCTTCTGGCTGAACAATACTCTCGGACATTTCAACCGACCTACATGAACTATACTGACGAAAGCTTCATCTGCAACTCCAAAAGACTTTCCGAAGTGAACCTGAGCGCTGACGTGGTGTTTCGGAAACTGTAGCACTTAAGAATTGACACCTCCTGGCCCGGACGTGGTTCATTCTGCCATACTGAGAGAAGCAGCCTAAATCCTGGCAACGCCACCTAGCGTGATATTCTTACACTGGCTAAGCCGAGGAAAACTACGGGAAAATTGGAAGCTCACTCACATCACACCACTTTTCAAAGGAAGTCGACACAGCGAACCTTCAAGTTACCGACCAGTGGCTCTTCTCTCCATACCCTCAAAAATCATGGAGTCCTAATATGCGATGGTATAAATGGCTATTTACTGTTCTTAAATTTCTTCTCACCCCAACATCATGGTTTCGGGAAGGTTTACTATTGTATAACTAACCTGCTGACTGCGGTGGACAGATGGACAAGCATCCTCGATCACAAGGGGAAGGTTGATATCATTTACCTTGATTTCTCAAAGGCTTTTGATAAGGTTAACCATATATGTCCTATCAATAAGCTCAAACGATTGGGTATCAAACCACCTCTAAACGATTGGCTCACTTCACACCTGAAAAATCGACATTTTAAGGTCAGGGCTAATTTAACTTTATCTCAAGCTATGGAATGTCCTAGTGGGGTCCCCGAAGGCTCAGTACTAGGGCCTCTTCTTTTCTTGATCAACATAAATTATCTTCCTCAACAGGTAACGTCAGACTTATCACTTTTTGCCGATGAAGTGAAACTTTGTAGAGAGATACGCAACCAAGACGATATACAGGCACTTCAGGAGGATCTGACTCGACTTCAAAGTTGGGCAGACGATAACGGACTTACCTTTAACACTTCAAAGTGTAAAATAGTCCATCTGCGACATGTCGCAGACTACAGTTATAACTTAGGAAACTCCTCTCTAGTAGTATCCCAAGTCGAAAAAGATTTAGGTGTCCTGGTGCCCTACGATTTAAAGTCTTATGCTAGCTGTGACAAAAATGCCTTCCGAGCGAACCTTGCACTGGTAACACTGAAGCGCATTTTTGGCCAGTTTGACGGAAGAACTTTCCATATAATCTTCAATAGTTTTATCCGTCCCCATTTTGAGCACGGAAACATAGTATTTTCTCCCTCACTCCAAAAGAATAAGGACACCCTGGAGCGTATCCAAAGGCAAGCCACGAAATCAGTTCGAGGACTCAAATTTAAACCTTACGAAGAGCGCCTCCAATCAGTTAACCTTTGCCAATTAGAGTATAGACGTCTTAGAGGTGACCTTCTGATGGCTTACAGTATCCTTAACACTTCTGGACATCCTCTCAAACACCTACTTAAGCTTAGTTCCAGCGCTAACCTATGAGGTAACACCCAAAAACTGGAGACACAACATAGCAGAACGGACTGTAGACACAACTTCTACTTCTTAAGAGTTGTCAAATGCTGGAATTCGCTGCCGACCGAGCTAGTTTAGGCGACTTTCCAGGAGTCCTTTAAGAGGCAGTGTAATCTATTCTTAAGGATTAAGGATAGTATCACACTATGATTTACTAATTTCTGTTTCCTCTTTTATTGTTAACATGCCTAGTTTCATGCCTGGAGGTTTTGGTGATCTCCTGCTACTAGACACGGAAGCCTGTTAAGCGAAAGCTTCTTCTATTCTGTCCACAACCATTTGAACCTTTTGAATAGTCTAGACATTCTACCCCACAACCCTAAAGGGTGATCATTAGTTGACCGGGTTTCCTGCAGGGGTAAATGACTTATCCTAGGATTGTATGATCACCAAATCGATATCTTTTTAAGCAACTGATTGTCTGACACATTGTGATGAATTATTGATAATAGAATTAAAGAAGAGTTTTCCAAACGTAATGAATAACAGTTGTATTAAAAAACTGATAGCTCAATAAAAGAATGAAAACAACGTGGCAGGAAGACGGAAGAAATTTAGAGTTGCAAACTTGTCGACTCAGTGATGGATCGGTCTTTCCTTCAAACTGCTTTCTAACAGACAAATAAACGATGAATCAGTCTGTTAGTACTCAATTTTCTCTTGAGACCGTTTACTGATGGAGTTCCTGCTCTATCGAATTACAAAATCTTTCAAGAAAACGCAAGCAATGTGTTACGATAAAATACTAACGGCTAGACAATCTTTTAAATGCATCTTAAAGTCTGTGACGTGTCCTTTATATATTTATATCAGCTGATATTAAAATCTGAAATAATCTAAACCGAACTACAACTGAGCAGGTTGGAGAATTATCTGGTAACACTAGTACATTCAGTGACTCCGTATCTACAGGAGTGTTGTTTCTTACTAAAAAGCGATTATAAAAAACACCGAGTGGAATCATTCTCGAAGTCATTTCTGTCATGTATACATGAAAGCAAACAGAGAAGTGGGGATAGTATTCAGGCTGAAGCAATCTATTATTCCAAAAGACTATAAAATGGGTTGACCTTTTTTCACGGATCATGAATTATACTAGCTATTAAAGAAAATTCCTATATACAGGAGTTGGAAAATAAGTGATTTTACCGTACCGGTCGTGTTAGCACCCAGTTGTATCCTAAAGGATGTTAACTACCAGCTAACTTACTTAACCAAGGGGTGGCTATGCAATAACTTTGCAAGCCTAGAAACAAGTGAACCAGTTAGTGTTAACCGTGTTGAGCCATTACAAGGGTCTAAGTCAGATCATTAGTTACCATATAGTAATCAGTCAGTACGCTACAAACTGTTAGGGCTACTTGAAAATTGTTAAGTGTTTTAACGAGTCTAAGAGGTGACCAACTGAAAAATGATGAAAATGATGGCACTTAATATTAGGTTGATCTCGATTTCAGGAAGCGTAGGAAATATACATCGATCATTAGAAATGGTGGAGATTTTTAGTTCGGATGGATGACATTTGCAGAGTTTCTTTCTTTGACATCATAGAAAGAAACTCTATCTAAAGCTTTATGCATTCTTATTGTAAGATCCGTTTTTAATGTTTGGTGTGTGTGAAACTCCCCCCATGTATACACTTGCACTTTGTTCCTATTGATTCCCTTAGTTGTACATCGTCTGTCTTTTGATTACATTTGAATTGTTAATATTTGTATTTTTTGTTATCGTTTTTATTTTTCTTACGCCTTCACTAAGTTTTTGTGTTTCTTCCCGAACTGCATCTATGTTGTTTTACTTGATATTTGTTCTTGGCGGCAGCCATATTGGTTTGCTTCTCCTTTTGTGTTTGTTCTATCCAGTCAGGATAGAATAGCGTTCATTTGTTGTGACTGGTAATTTTTCCCGCATCTTTTATCAACTTCTTTATTTATAGTAATTTAGATTTGATTGATTGAAAAATTATTGGTTGAATAGCCGGATGGTAATATTTGTTTAGGTAATGATGTACGTTTAAATTTATGATGAATTATAGAACCATTATTTACCCGATTACTTGTTTTGATTTTGACGGGCAAAGGCGCGTGTCTACCCTATCTGAACGGCTGTTCTTCAGTCCATACCGTAGTTTGGATTCTACATTTATGACATTGAACACCTGTAGAATTATGGTCTACTATGATATTAGTACTGCTCTAATAATAGACCTAATCCTAAAATTGTAGATTTGTCATGATATAATTGCCTAATCTATAAGATCTTACGTGGAAGTCACACCATCGACTACACCAACTCACTGTATCGTATCAATTACCAATACATGATGTAGAACAAGGTTAGGCTAGAGAAAGAACAATATATTTAATATGAATAGGAGATATAAGATAACATCCAGCAGGGACCACGCCTGCATGGCCGAGCCATGCCACTCGATCAACTCAGTCCATTCAATACATTATTCGCGCCTTCCCCATCGTTGGGTATTTCTCCGCGTTAAATATTGAATATCTATTTTCTGTGTAGTCTCGTGTTCACAGCTTTGTGGATTGTGTGGCTATTGTCCAATGCCACTACACACCTATATATACTTTTAGTATCGGAACTTGAAAGTGTATGCGGTACTTCATATTTTGCTGAAACACTAGATCAGTACTAAGGACGGGCGTTATTGTACTATTGAGGCTCATTTTTTATGTACATTCCAATGGTGGTAAGTTCTGAACAAAAGTCGGAAGAATACCTTTCAATGTTGACAGCCCGTTTTATCTATAAAAAGCCGAACTATTGATTGCAGTATATCTTTATTAAGATCGTGAAACAACGGTTATAGTGCGAGGTTCTCTTTTCAATAATGCGCACTATGATGTAAATGTCATTAGACAGCCAGTCAATTCAGATGCTATGCTCTGTGATACATTGCCCCTTAATCCAAATAATGTTCCGTTATTCTTCACTTCTAGTTATTTTGGCCTAGGAAACTCTGGGCTATAAGGGATTCTTGATATCAGCCTTGTCAAATTCTAAATATCCATGACCACCTCAGGTCACACAAAAGCAAAAATTGGTTATTAAATGTTTGCGATATTAGTTAATAACTAATAATATCACAGGTTAAAATCTAGTTCAATAATGCTTTTCAAACACTATGCATTCAAAAGTTCCCCTGATACAAAATAATGTACTGCTACTGAATATGACTGTTAAGTATACAAGAGTCAACAAGAATATCGCATACATAACATATCAGGATTTTGTTTGTAAGAGTTACGTCAAACAACAAACGTATCTAACACTACTAAAAAGCAGGCTGAATCTCCCCGGCCTAAAAGTCATGACTAAGGACCACTGGTGGATGTGGATTACTTGATCACAATTGAGTTGCTGGAATGATGTACAAACCAGTTAATGATCTTGACTGGAAATTCATGTCCTATTCCGTAATGGAACCAGTAGAAAAGACTGCATACCTTTATTTCAGGAATCAGTTACACTAAATGGTGGTAATCCACTCCAAATAACAGCTCATTTTCATAACGCAGTATCAGTATGCCAAATAAGTCATAAATATTACCAAAGAAAGACGGACGACTGCCCAAATTAGTGTAGAAAATTGTCTCATGTGTCCATGAGAAAAAAAAATAGAGGCAAGATGTCATGTTTTAAGATAGCTTACAAAAAGGAACGAGGTTTATTTGACTGTATACAGATAGTCAATATTATACGGAATTCCTATGATGGATTAAACTGCAAAATCGTGAAAGGAGGACGCCTGACGGACTCGTTCGAAGTAAAGACCGGTGCCAGACAAGGTTGCTTACTCTCACCTTTTCTATTCCTCTCAGTGATCGACTGGATCATGAAGACATCAACATCTCGGGATAAGCATGGGATACAATGGACAGGTAGGATGCAGCTGGACGATCTAGACTTCGCAGATGATCGGGCTCTTCTATCGCACACGCAACTATAAATGCAGAAGACGACCAGTGTAGCAACAGACTTGACAGAAGTAGGTCTCAACATACACAAAGGTTAAAACACGATACAACACAGTATGTACCAATCGAATCACACTTGACGGAGAAGATTCGGAAGATGTAAAAACATTTACATATATGGGCAGCATCGTTGATGAACACAGTGGATCTGATGCAGGTGTGAACGCGCGGATCGGCAAAGCAAGAACAGCATATCTACAACTGAAAAACATGTGAAATTCAAAACAACTGTCTGTGCACCATCACCAATGTCAGAATTTTCAATACAAATATCAAGACAGTTCTACTGAACGAGGCGGAAACCTGGGGAACTACGAAAGCCATTATCCACAAGATATAAGTGTTCATTAACAATTGCCTACGCAAAATACTCCGGATCCGTTGACCAAACACTACACTATCAGCAACAACCTACTGTGTGAGAGAACAGATCGGATTCCAATGGAGGAGGAAGTCAGAAAGAAGTGTTGGAAGTGGATAGGACACATATTGAGGAAAGCACCCACCTGCGTCACAAGGCAAGCCCTAACACGAAATCCCCAAGACCAAAATAGAAGAGGAAGACCGAAGAACACATTACTCCGAGAAATGGAGACAGACATAAGAAGAATGAATAACAGTTGAATAGAACTGTAAAGGAATGCCCATGACAAAGTGGGCTAGAGAATGTTGGTCGGCGGCCTATACTTCATTGGGAGTAACAGGCGTAAGTAAGTAAGTTCTGCGTTCGAACCGAATATTAGTATTTCGGTCTTTACAATGATAGTGGTCGAAATGTTAAATAAACAGTTAGACTTCTGATGAAGTTTTGTCCTCTGAGTTAGATGGCTTAGTCATGGGGCTTTCACCGTTTGTGCTGATGGTGTCGTTCAAAATAACGATGAAGGCTCCACTACTGAACATACAGCTCAGAGAGCGAAATTCAATCAAAGTCACTTACCCGAGTTACAAATCTTCTCCACCATATCAAAACTGCTGGACATTCATCTTTTTCTCCTAACTTGACGGTACTCGCCGGTTTCGCAAACAATTATGGCAGTGGATGAATTTGATAGAATAACATAGATACTTAAGCATCGGAGAATTCTTCGGACAGTAATTGATTCTAACGCGACTCATGTTGCTGAGTACCTAGAGTAAATAAGCCGACTCTGAAACATTAATTGATGTAGACAACTGAAAAAAGATTACAACAGACACAGGAAAACGCAACGGTCTACAGTAAAAGCATCTCCCGAATGTTTTATTTGAATTCACTAAGGATGAAAGTTAAGGATTGGAGGCTAAAATGCTTCAATCTTGGTAACCCATAAGTTGATTCTCAAGGAAGACAAGTCGTATCCAGTATGCAACCGGTATTTAATGGATCAACACACAAACTCTTGTGGTTCACACAAATGATCACTGAATTCGACACTATAGGAACCCATCAATTACGAAAATATGACGTAGAGGGAGAGTCGATTTGGAAACTTCCCTCTATTTTCAAAGAATATGTGGTCACGATGTTATGATCAAATACCTAAAGATAGCATCCTCTACACAATACAATGCATAACCACACTGGAAGATTTTAATACTAGTTTTTTAGGTTAATCTCACCTAACTAGAAATGTCAGCAACAAGAAAAAAGCTGACAAAAACTAGGAAGTTTCGACATAAAAATGAACTATAAACACAAAATATGTTCTTGTGGCAATTGTTTCAAATAAATTACTCTCCCTATACATTAACGCTAATAGTACACCAAAGTTACTTGACGCTGCTTGTAGGAGAATAAATAAAGCCGAACAAGTCACGTCCTCGAATCACAAAACTTCCTCAAGAAAAGCAGGATACAGTAGGATGGCTAAATGAATATAAGAAGTGGAAGCATGCATACCCTAGTTATACACAAGTTACCTAATATTATCAAATACATTGCTCCAATTCATGTTTATGTAACAAATGTTTGGCAGGAGCTGCATGTGAATGAGAATGTACGTTTCCCGAATTTTCTCACTTGCCAGTGTAGCAGGGAATATCTCCATGCTTAAGGAGATCCTGGTGAAATTCACTTGACAAGTCGTCGACTCCAACTAAAACGACCTAAGAGGTTCACTATGTCATGACTCATTGCAAGTACTTAGATAAACACAATACATTCGTACCTTACTGAACAAGTCACAAAATGAGCGTCTTTCATATTTTAATATCTTCTACTGTTACACAATAAACCAAAATAGACCTCAGTTGTGCTTTATAATTGTCGCCCTGAAAGATTTCATAGAAATTGTTATCAAAGGCCTAAAATCTAGAAGCAAATTCACAACACCAACACAGCAAACATTTATAAAATGGAATTTATTTATCAATAAGCTGATAAATTCTAAACCAATAAAAGTCTTTCAACATAACACATATTTTTTCATCCGAATTAAAATATTATATTCAGAGGCCACATTAATTCGCAACAACTTTTATGGTCCCGACAGACTCGTGGTTAGATACGTAATAGAGAATACTAAATGCAGTACAAACTTATTCTTATACTGGAATTGGTGGGACAACGAGGAATGTTGATGCCCACAACAAAAACTTGAAAAACAAGAAAAACGACAGCAAAGATGAAGATCTGAATGTGTGCACCACAATGTTATGAAAATAAAAAATGTCGTTTTGTGTAATTAGTACTGACTTAGGATAAAATATAAAATAGGATTACCTGGTGGTTATTGGAATTTGAAGATAGAATAATGATAAGCGACCTAAAATTTACAAATTTATTCCCAAAGTAATGACCACTTCGAACCTACCCTAAGAAAATTTAGTCTCTCATGATTAAATTCATTCACTTTAAAATAGAGTTAAAATGGTTCAAACGGTTCTGGACAGAATAGAAAAAGCTTCCACTTAATGCGCTTCTGTATTTAGTGGCAGTGGATCACCGATAACTCCAGGCAGGAACCTGGGTATACTATTGATAAAAGAGGAAAAGAAAAAATGTTGGCAAATCATAGTAAGATTCTACCCTTAATCCTTAAGAATATGCCAAGTTTTCTCTTGAAGGACTTCTGGGAAGTAGCTTGAACTAGCTCAGCTGCCAGAGAATTCCAGCAATTAATTACTTTTATGGAGCAGAAGATATGTCTACAATCCGTTTCGCGGTACTGTCTCCACTTTCTGGGTCCTTACCCTTAGGTTTGTGGGCGTAATAGTTACCACACAAAATAATATCGAATAATTTTGGCTTTCTGTCCTTAAACTGGAAATCAGATAAAATTAGAGGGTCTATTTGTTATAGGAGTTGTTTGTTTGCTTCGACCTTGCAAGTATCAACTTTGTAAATTTGGTTCAAAACCGATTGGTGTGTGAGTGTGGGTTCATTTTGTGGATGGTTCTCTTTTCGTTCAATGATAATAAGTGTTAAAAGTGTAAGTCACTAAATAGTCTGTTTAATATTATTGTATTTTTCAACACAATCGCTTGCATTCGTACGGAAGTGCACTTGGGATAGAAGTTCTAACAGCTACACTCAAAAACTGTCTTATTTAGAGGTCTCAAGTAATACAATAACAGGGGTTTCACTAAGACTAAGCCCTTCAAAGGCAAAAGAAGTGCGGCTTTATTTCATAAAATGAAAGTTACATGGACAATGAAATGAGTTTCGGTTGCACTGTTGAGTCAGTTAGTTTAAGAGAAACAATAATATACTTTGCCAAAGTAACAATACTTTGGCATCGAAATTGTTAAGAAAAAGTATCTTTTTTGTATAGTTGTAACATTCGGGTCTGAAATGTTATTAATTAATTAACCAGGTACAGATTCGTGTATTTCGCTGAAAGCTACACTTCAGGTGTAAAGTTTAAAGATATTACCCAGCTGCCCAAAACAAAGTAGAGGAAGCAGTTTATAAACTTGCGACTTATTGGTTAAGATCCAAACCAATGGGCCGCTTCTTTAGAAGAGAGGTGAGACGCTATTGACGGTAGTTTTTTGAAAAGCTGGTTTGTATCACATTGTCCATATGCATCATATGCAGTATCCCAGACATGCTGGCCAACTAAACAACATAATACTCTGTTTCCTTCGTCCAGCGTACTATCTTTTCCACCTGACACGACTAACTTACGAGTCAAGATATTTTTGAAGTTACTTTTGTGAATTCACAGTGTTATGAAGTCATTTACTTTATCAATCCCAGCAAAGTAGCTACTTTTGAAAATGACGAGAATGTAATGATGTCATTCTAATTTTACTGTTCATCCCTAGAGATTGCGTAGCGATTTTTTCATGTATATTTAACCCCGTATGATGACTTTCGTTTCCAAGCCTTGTACGTTGCTGAAACAAAATAAAAAGTCCAGTTGATGCACGAGACAAGTGGGCACACACAAACCTAATTGCGCATTATAATCTCATTGAGGCGTTTCGTTTACCAACAGAAATTCAATTTTTTAAGCTTTTACTCAAAGCGGTATTCCATACAAGTGTTGGTTTTTCTGACAACAAAAGCGACAATCATAAAAACATTTTACTTGTTAACCAGGAAGCTCATTGATTGGGTTCAGTAAACCTTGCAATATGAATATCTTTATTTGATACAGCAACAAAGACAGCATAGTAATAATATTAAGACCGAAGTTTTGTCGGTGTCAATACGATTAGATTTGCCAGTCATTTCTTATGGAAAGTAATATTTGAAGATCTAAACCATTCAGGTTTCCCTTCTGAAGCACGCCATATGTCACTGCGACCTCATGTTGCCTGAATGGATTTTTACTTAGTACAATTAGTTGTGATAACAGGTGATTTTAGTTACGGCAAAAGTTGTCTACCAAAAAGACAGGTTAAACATACAATTTGATAACTACAATAAGTGATGAGCGTCTCGAAAAGGATGCTTTGTTGAGTCTACTCGTTTAGTAGTTCGGTTTAATTTACTGTTTAGCAAAGAAAATAATATTTACATTCCGTTAGTTTATTCATCTATTTTACATGTGATTTTCCGACATCTGTGGTAGACTAGTAAAACCGTAAAGTTCACACAAATCTAAATTGCTAGTAAGAAGCAAAACATGGAAATCAAAAGGTTTATCAAAATCCTTACTGAGCTAAGCAAATAATTAACCTGATTATTTTCATTTTCAAGCTGAAGACTGGCTAGAAGGTGGAATAATCCTTTTAGGATTCATGAAGTCAGTTCACATGACTACTGGTTTCAGACGAGCGTTGTCAACGTTCATTTGTTTAGTGACAGATCAGGTTGATTAATTTCCGATTGCTTGGATTATAAGAGGTCAGTCAGTCAGTCAGTAAAAACGTAGAACTTCGTACGTACGTACATCAGTTCGAGTTGCCACACATTAGCACAGAGATGCAGTGGTCGATTCAAATCCCGTAGTGCTAGATGTAGTAAAATTATAAGCTGTAATCAGAAAAATTGGGGTTTAAAGATGTTATTCAAGGAGTATAATCCAGTGAAATAAATTTGGAAAGAGAAAAGTGAAAGGGATATGAAGAATTCAGAAGATTAGAATTTGGGAGAATACAAAGAGTGAATGCACCTGTGTCATTGCAAACGATTTTGATCCATGTCATTCAGGCTCTCTAACCATCGGTTGCTATCATCTCGCGGTCCCCAACCAGGTAGTCTACACCTATCAACATGACTCAGTTCACTTGTCAGTGACTTCATGGACTTGTGCCATGTTTTGGTTTGGCCGCCCCTAGCTTTCTTCCAACCTACTCCTATACCACTGAACATAGCACGTCGAGGCAGTCGGTCGTTGGGCATACGTAACACGTTTCACTACTTCATCAATTGATTTGTCATCCTTACCTAGTACCCGTTTCCTAACAACTGTGTTACTTACTCGATGGTCCCATGGTATACGAGCAATGTTTCGAAGACACCTATGATCAAATACTAGTAACCTACGGATATCCTCTACTCTTACTGGCCATGTTTCACTGCCATAAAGTAGGATAGAACGAACTACTGCGCAGTAAACACGTCCTTTGGTTGATAGACGGATATCTCGCCTACGCCATAAATGACGCAAGTTGGCAAAAGCTAGTCGAGCCTTGTGTATCCGTGCTGAGATTTCGTCACACACTAAACCACAAGGGCTGATGAGACTTCCAAGATAAGTGAAGCGGTCGACACGCTCAACTACTTCACTCCTTATCACTAGTTCGGGTTTCGATGTAACCCAATCCTGAAGCAATATTTTGCATTTCGAGGGAGAGAATCGCATCCCGAACATGCTTGCATTGTTGCTTAGAGTGGTCAAAAGACTGCATTTTGTCAGCGTCCTCACCAAATAAAACTATGTCATCTGCATATTCTAAGTCAACAAGTGAATCTCCTGGTAGAAGTTCAACCCCTGGAAATTTAGATGAGGAGAGTGTTATCTTTAAAAGTACGTCGACCACAAAGTTGAACAAGAATGGGGAGAGTGGACAGCCCTGACGAACACCACTTGAGGTAATCAATTCTGATTGAGGAGGAGCAGTGGTCAGTTCACCATCAGTTTTGCTGTTCATGCGTTTAAAAAACAAGATGTTTCTGAGCATTAACTTTTTTACTTCTTGCCTCAGGCTGATATAAACGAGTTCTTTAAAATAGGCTTCGTCTAAATGTCAGTTTGAACCTTGCATAGAAAATGAAACTACGGGTCCTCAAAATCATGACATATGTTAATTAGAAATGCTCGACAGCTTGGCTTTGGCGTTCCACACTGTGATCTGTAGATACGTCTACTATACTCCCTGACCAGAAACCGATTTTCATCATTAATTACTTCTCTAGATTTTCTTCTAATTTGACGTATTGCAAGGTAAATCACCGTACATTGCTCTGTCTCGTTTTTATTTCAAGAACTGTTACTCTTTTGAATGTTTATAAATATCGATGCTAATTTTTTTGGATTAAATAATCATCGTCAAAAACGACAACTTAACCACTATAATTATATCATTGTATCCCTATGTTCCAAAAATGTTTTCATATAATTTGTATTCGTTTGTCTGTATTCTTGGTACTATTTTATCTAGACGAATAGACGCCATGTGTCTAAAAGATACCTGAGGAAGTAGTTAAATACTTTGGTAAGTAAAATGTTTCATTTTTCCGAGTGCCTAACTTGGAATGCAACCGTACTCTGCGAAAAATCAACTGTTCCATCATTTCATGTCGATTTAGAACGCAAAAGAACACCTCCAGAATTTTCTGCTGAAACAGTGATCAGGGTGATTAACTTGATATTACTAATTTGAATAAGATCATTCAAATAAATGTTTTATCCTGTAGCTTGGAACTTTGTCGTGCAAGTTGTTGTTCACTGTTTTTGATCGCTCAGTTCTCGATTGCTGTCACTCTGTTTAACATACCAAAGTTTAAACAACCTATTAATATCGTTATCTTCTGGAAAATCCTTGTGGTTTTATTGTTTTTTAAAAAAAAATTTGTTGCTAAGTAATGATTCTATAATAACCTAACCTTTTCTGTTTATCCCATAAGACCACACTGTAGATAACCTAAATTAGTCATTACTAACTGTTGTAAAACCAAAATGTATTAGGGTTCACTCTTCAAATCCTACACAGGTTGAACTTTCTTATAGTAATGTCTAATACATTCGTATATCAAAGTCAATTAAAATAACTTCCTTAAAGCTAAATCCTGCGGGAAGTCATCTCAGTGTTATAATTCCATAGTTCATAACTTTAAAGCCTTTCACTATGATAACCTACACCTAAAACTAATGCTTTTTTAAACTTTTTAGGGCCGTTGTCGTCCATGGAATCACCTGAGAAGCAAACTCCCAGGTCTAGCAATGCATTTAAAAACAAGCCTGGGCGAGGTCGAACCGCCTCACACGTCAAGAGGTCTAATGATAGGACAAGTCGTTCAATGGCTAGTAGACGTACATCTGTAGACTCAAGGAAAAAAAGTAATCCCAAATGTAGTAGAGGAAAAGCTTATGCTAAGGTGATTACTATGTTTAAATATTCAGTGATGTATACACTACAATCGCCTAGTAACTACAATCAACTAAGCCAGTATGTTTTTTGTTTGCTGGAACATTTAATGGAACTCAGTGAGTAAACATTTTCTCACCTCAGAATGAAATTACGTTTGTATACTTAGAAGTCACGTTTTACATAGTCGCCAAAATCGTTTGTGTTTCGTCTGCTCAAATGGGTATTACCTAGAGAGAATTTAACGATTGCGATAGACATTCGTCTTAGCAATCCTCTCTCCAATTAGAGAGAAATTGATGTCATATGGTGTATGGGAGCGTAGAATTTCCTACTTATCAGTCAACCAGTAGGCTGCAGGTCCAACCCTTCCCCCACTTCATTTGAAGCACTCAGGTATTATAATCAGCTTTTACAAAACCTATGTGACTCAATCAAATACCTTTACCTGGTAAATGAATTACATCATTTTGTTACCAACCGGTTCCAAATAATAACTTATTCCAATATGTAATGCTCCCATCTTATTTTTATCTGCGAATAATTTCGGCTGTTAAAATGCAATAAATTTTCGCAAGATCTCGCTTAAATATTGTCGCTTTTGAATCAGATGTTACTACACTATGACTTCAACTAGTCATTCAGTTTCGTGGCCCATGAATATTGGTGAACGTCACAAATTGGATCATTTTATTACTTTTTTACTATCGAAATCAATGTATTCCTAATCCCTATTGCATGTAAAGTTATGTTCTGGCATTACTTAACCCTGAGTTTTACGATTTATTAATTCTTAATGATTACATACCCTTGTTTATTGCTCCAGCCCGTTTGCAAAACTTATAAGAAATGACTATGTGATTCCTAACCATGGAAACTCAACTATCTATTCAGCTTACGATCTCACGGTCTATCTGAAAGAACAAAAAAATAAGTACATATGGATCTATTCACCGAAAGCTGAATAACAAACATCAACTGTCTTACATGACGTGTATATGTTATGATAAAAGAATTTGTAAGAGTAAAATTAGTCATTAACTGTGGCATATGCGGAAATAAATAGTCGTCGCAAATGTTTTTGTTTTCACATTTGAAATTATCAGCTTAATTCTTCACATATGTATTCACTTTTTTTCCGCCTAAAATTGTGTAAAATGTAATTGTCAGATTATATGCTGAAAATTCTGTTCTGTACCTACGCATTTTGTGACGAGGAAGATGATTATTATTTACTAATATTTCAATCAGTGATATTCTTGGTTGGCTTAACATCCGACGAAATGATGTATGCTAAATCACATATCTAAGTGTTTTTTAAGTGTTCTCGGTTATCAGAACTTCGTTATACTTAATCGCACTACCTGACTTCAATAGCACATTTTGTTGTCAGTAAATATAATCAGTCTTATTGAAGCCGCGTTTATCGCCAACTGAAAGTGACCAGTTCAAGCTAGCGCAGAAGTGAAGCGTTCTGGCTGAAAAATTATACAGGTTAACGTTGCAGCGATAAAACCAAGAGTATTTCAAACTAATCCGACCACTGTATCTTCTTGCGATACAGGATTCTGTGCTTATTCTATGCCTTATTTCCCTTAAAGTCAAGTTACCTGAATGTCAAATATCTCCCCATACCATTGACATTCATTTATTTTTTCATTTTAGTTTACTTACTATACTTCAGTGACCCTGGCAGTTATGCATAGATGCAATAATTCATTTGGTCACAACTTTTTATTTTGAACTCATTGGGTATGTCTTGGGAAAATAAGGAAACTGAGTATATAGATCGATTGTTTATCAAGCCCATAATGCTTAAGTGTATATCCTTTCGATTTAGTAGTTAAGGTGTTCGACTTTCCGCTGCCAAGTCTCGGATCCGAACCTCATTCCACCTTCAGTTTGGGTGATAGGATAGTATCACTAACACCAAAGTACCCGGTGAATGAGTTAATTGTTATTATCACATCTTTCTGGATACTACTGCTACTACTCATGTCAAAGCACAAGATCTTTGAACTGTATTAATGAAAGTAATTTTATAGCATTGAATGGTAGCAAATTAGACTCACACTTTTCTTTTTTGTAGCTTATTCAAACCAAATCTCAACGTAGAATCCCGAATGGTCGTATTGCTAGCCGTTCTTCAGCTTTGTACAGGTTAAAATGCAGAACTTCACAGGCTGTGTATGTTAATAAACGACCATATAGGCGTCGTATTCCAAATGGCAATTCTCAGGCAAATACTTCAAATACTTCACAAACTAACTCTGAGTTTGGTATCATTCCTAATGATGAAAATCCAGTTGAGCAGGTTCAATCGATCAGTTGTTCCAACAGAACAACAGGTCTTAAACGAAAATACACTCGGCGCAATTCATCTTCAAGATTTTCTTATACTAGAAAACCTAATGCTAGAAGTACGCAGTCCAACTACACTAACTCAGTTGTTGATTTTAATAACTTGGTTAAAAAACAAGAAGCATTTGTACGGGCTTTTGCTATCCCAACACACTTGTATAGATATCTTTCCCATCGTCATCGTGATCGTCCGTTATACCTGGACCGTACTCTCAGCTATTTGATGCCAAATCCATCCCGTAAACAGTCATCTGGTAAGTTAAAATCCCCACTGTATTGGCTTCTTAGGTCTGCATAACAAGTGTGTCTAAAATTTGATTTCAATTTATTTTAATAACCGTAATCAGCAAAGCGACTTGCCAGCTTAAACACTGAATAGCTAATTTCAAAATAAAGGAATAAAATCCTGCTGAATACAAAGTTACGAATCTTTTAGTATATTTAATATGTGGCTAGCAGTGGAATTTAGGAGGCACATTCCCTCCCATTTGAAATTTGTCACCTCGATGTGTCTCCATTCCAGTCTGAATGTTCATATTGAAACTTAAATCCAGTATCTTTCTCTTCAAACACCGACGTGTAATCCACCGATCTACTGAGTTGATGTAACCACGAACTTGTTCAACGAGCTTAAATCTATCACGAAGGGTTTGTAATTTCCCGTTGTTAATACTCAGAAGTAGAACTAATCAATCCTTTTTGCCTGATCTGTTTCCCCAACGAGTTGTCTCTATATAGCCTGTAATTACAAGTTTTAGCATATTTGATATATGGTTAGAGGTGAACGAGTTATCGAGTGATACTACCCTACTGCCTAAACCGAAGTAAATGGAATTTAAACTAGAGACCTGTTTGGTATGAATCCCGAGTTCTTTAACCACAAAATCACCGCCCTCATAGAAGTTATAACTTTCCCCACATTTGTTTTTGGCAAAAAATATAACAACCATAACCATTAAGTATTTCGATCAACTTGTAGTTTATTATTGATCTAGGTTCACGTCGAAGCATAAACAGAATTATAGAACGTCTAATTGAAAGACGAAAAGATTGCAGACAAAATGATGAATCGAAGGATTCCAGTAAGTACTCAGAATCCATTTCGTCTTCCTCTTCAACGACTCCTGGTGAATTGCCTCAAGAATTAGAACTCGTTTTTGAAGGCTTTTACGATAGTGAAAAAGAAGTGGATTGGGTCACCGTGGACGTAAGTGCATTGTTTTGTGTTGAATAGTATCTCACTTATTGTTGTACAATTCCATTACACAGCGTCGGTTTTTAATTTTTTTAACCATTCATTTAACTTTATAAAAATTCTACCTGGTACACATGTTTATGTAACAAATTCTTCAGTGTTTAAATTAACTGGATAATAAATCTTTTGATATCCTTCAAGTCAATCAGTCAATCGTTGGCAACACAGAATCTGGCACATATGTATATCGGTCCAAGTTACCCCATCTTGTAAGCATAACAAGATGAAACTATAATGACAAATACCAGAGTAATTGAAGTAGTAACAAAAATATCAGTGTTAGTAGCAAAACACGTTAAACATTGTCCGTATACTTTGAGAATGAATGAATGAATTCACAGAATAAAACTATGAAATAATTTCAAAAATTCGAAATCTAATGAGTAAAAAGTATTATATGCATCTGCACCATTTAGAGTTGCTTCTAAACCATATTAACCAATTCATCTACAAATATTCTGTAAAGAGAGTTAGTTGCTAACAACGACAACTAGTGATCCTTGCTTCCATTCTTCATACTAATTGTGGATTAAAATAAAATTTATTAGTTTTATGCATACACGTGAGTTTATGACTGAAAATTTTTTTCTAAAATTGAAAGCGAATTATGTAAAACTAAATAGTCTTAGTTTTTTTGTTAAGCCAATAGTGTTCATCATTGATCACTTTCAAAGTTAAATTCAACAGTTTTCATTCACTGTTCGTGAGTATGAACTTGTGTTTTTATAGTTTTAGTAGTCCTGAATTAAACAATAATTATTGTGTATTCATACTCTTACTTAAGGAGTGAGTACACTGTTTTACTTTACGGTTGTGTAACGTGGTATTTTAAAGTAGACTTTATTCGTGAGTTATTAGTATTTAATTACAAGTATCTTTGAACCGTTACTCACATTGGTGAGGAAATATCGAGTGAGCTTAGATCAGTCAACATAGATAGCAAATCAGTTAATGAAGCTTTGAATCAATTTTTATATTGATGATTATTATTATTTATTTATTTTAACACATAGATATTGGTACAAGAAAGCACCAAATACATATGCGCCACACAAATCTTATTCGATATGTGCGAGGGCTGTGATACTGCCCGGGTGCCCAAACCGAAGCAGGTGGTTTTCTTAGGGGGCCACTCCCCGAGCCTTTGACTTAGAGGTCTTACCCACAAGGCAGTGGAGCATCGTAAGGAGATGCAGTCCCATGGTAGCCGGTGACCAACGATTGGTTCATACGCCATTTGTTCCCGCAGGATACTGGAGCCCATGTGCACCATCAGTTTGGGATCCGGTTAAAGCGCCGGACATTCGCTTTTCGTCCTCTCATTTTTGTAAATAACACCCCCGCCACGAGAAGGCAGTGAGTAGGACTTCCCTGGCAGAGGCTATATACGCGTGGCCATGTGAGAGCATTTCGAGAGGGAGAGCGGACTTTCCCCACTCTCGGTCGTACCATTTGGGGACTAATCAACTTCTATCGACATGTAATCTCGTAATAGACACCTCTATAATATCTATGTACTATCTCTCCATTGGTCAACAGGATAAATTAACCAAAATGCCTAGATTTATTCATTTCATTTAAAATGTTAAAAACATGGATAGGGTGAAATTTAAAGCTGTTGGGTGGTTTAGCAATTCGAAAAAAGCTCAACGCTTGTGATTATAATGAGAATTATAAATTGTTGCACATAATCTCTACGTAATAAAGTCGAACAATTAAAGGGCATGTGGTCTTAGAATGTATACAGTAAAATTAAACTGCGCACACTCAATTATCCAAACTGAACTAAAATTTCTTTATTTATTGGTAGTATCAGAAAGGTTTTGTATAATTAATGAATAGCTTTTACTAGTAATTGACATTAATAAGCCATTCAGAAGTATTTACCACAAAACAGTTATTTTATCACTTCCTAGTTCAAGTTTAGTTTTTTACAAGTGGTTTGAACAAAAATTTGTTTTAATTATATATAGTGAAATGATAAGGCATGCTCATATAAATTCGTTATTGGCCTTGTTCGTATTGTCTTTTTGTTGGTTAAACCGTAGCAGAAATGCAATTGGGGTAGTTTGTCTTAAAGTGATGAAATCGTATCACATTCACACCATTTTATCATCGCGTCCAGTGCTGGTTTCCATTTCTTATGTAATTACTTAAGTTGCTTAAGCCTGTTACTCATGTCACTATAAGGTAATCATGTATTTAAGTGACTTAGTTTTAAAATAGTCAAATAACGACATCTTAACCTTTTAAAATATAAGCCACTATATTACATTGTTTGACGTTGAAAAAAACTGGTTGTACTGTGCTTTCGGATATTAACACTAGCTCTCACACAAACTCTGACTTAAAGCCAAGTATATACGTGTCAACCATGTATACCTGTTGTGACTGGCAGATTCAGTTTAAATAGGTAAATGAAGTCCAGTGAGAAGTTAACTATGCAATTCTTCCAGGACTCCGTCTGTAGTCCTTCTGGGGTTACTGTCGGTCCCAATCCCGGATAGAAGTGGGGGGTAGGGCATGTAGTCAGCAACCCTATCCCGTAGAAAACAGCTTTGTTAAAAAAGGCTAGTCAGAATAAATCATCAAAACCATTTAAACTGTCCTGGAAGTTAAAGTATCTTATTTAGAAGAATTATGACATCTAATGGTGAAAGTGGAACTTCATCGAAAGTAACGAGGCCGATGCCCCTTTTAATAACCAGAGCAACAATTAATATAAGTACATGAAATGTCCGGGCATTATAGGAGACCGGAGGACCCGTCATATAGCTGCGGAAATGAGATATAACATGGCATGCACAAAGCTACATGGGTCTCACCGAATCGCACTACAGAGAACCAGATCAATCATATTTGCATCAGTAAAAAATTCAGAAGGTCAATGGAAGACGTGAGAACCAAACGTGGAGCTAACATAGCTTCTGATCACTACCTGGTGGTTGCCAAGATGAAACTGAAGCTAGAGAAACACTGAAAAACTCAACGAATTCTAGATATTTCTCAGCAATAATTTCCAAGCCTTGCGAGATCTATCCATTTAAAGAAGAAACTACTGTGGATAACAGTTGGAAAGGGATCGAAGAATCACTAACTTAAATTAGCCGGGAGCTGCTGGAACAATAAATACAGAAGCACCATCATGAAGAATGGATCTCTACCGATACTTTGGGCAAGATTTAACAATGGAAAGAGTGACAGCAATTAAAAGCAGCCGAACAAGAGCAGAGAAATTCAATGCACAGAATCAAACATGAGAATGAAGAGGAGCATTAGAGCCAAAAAGCAGAAATGTGTGGATGACCAAGGAGTGACAGCGGGAAACTCTGCAAGCGAGGGAAATATCCAACAACCATATGATAGAACGAAAAAACTGGCAAGGGAATACAGTAAATCAACAAGCAGAAGGGAAAAAGCAAAGTCCTAAAATACAACCCAGAAATCACTAGTCCAATCACGCTTGATGGAGAAGCTCTAGAAGAAGTGGAAATTTTTACGTACCTGAGCAGCATCATCGATAAACAAGGAATATATGATGCATATGTAAAGTCGCAGATTAGCAAAGCGATGGCAGCATTCCTACAAGTAAATAATATAAGGAACTCAAAAGAGTTGTCAGCCAACATCAAAACCAGAATTTTCAGTACGAACGTCAAGACGATTCTATAGTACTGAGCTGAAACGTTGAGGACCACAGCCATCGTCAAAAAAGTGCAGGTATTTATAAACGATCGTCTACTCAAGATACTTCAGACCTGTTGGCCGAATACTATCAGTAACAGTCTACTGTGGTAGAAAACAAACTAGGCTCCAGCTGAAGAGGAAACAACACTAAAAGTTGATAGGTCACACTTCATGGAAATCATCAAACTGCGTCATGACACGAGGTGATCTCTAACTTGGAATTCTTAAGGGAACAGGAAAACCGAGTAACACATTGTGTCGGGAATTGAAGGCAGACGTCGAAAGAATGCGTATCAATTGAAAACAGCTGAGAGGGAGAGCCTAGAACAGAGTTGGTTGGAGCATCCTGGTCGGTGGCCTATGCTCTCACGAGGGTTAACAGTCGTAAGTTCAAAACTACATTCTAGCAAATAGATCATGTTAGCCGTTTGCCGGTTCTTGATACCAAATTCATACTCAGAGATGTATATTGTTTGGCTTGGTAATTCATCATTATCCACCGTATATTTCACCCAGATATGTCATGTTGTTATCAGCCATTGTTGGATAGGGTCGATAACGGGCTAAAGCTCATATCCGTGCTTTTATGTTGTTGTTGAAGTATTACAAGTTTTTTATGATGTTGAAAGAAAAATCGCGAGTATGCAAAGTGTTGGCATAACTCAATCCTCATACAAAACTAAACATTACATTTTGATCTAAAAATGTAATTTGTATTAGTATTCTTATGAAATTATTCTAGTTGTATAGTAGCATAGTTTGCAATGCTGCCTTATTATATATATTGGAATATATTGCATAAACAATTTCCCACATTTTTTTAAAATTAAGGCTTCTGTTAATGTTCATTTACGCTTTGGATGGGCATGGCGCCGTAAAATATGCCCAGATGATACAATTTTAAATATAACGCCAAATCCAATTCGAATAAATTGTTACAGTCATTCAACTGGCTACACTTCCCTAGTCAACTCACCACCTACTTCTAGTAATGATAATATTATTACTGCTACTACAAATACGACCCATACCTCTTGTCGTTTCTCTTTAACCGATCTAATTAATCAAGTTAAATGGAATACATCTAGTGGTCGTTTAACATCTGCTCAATTGGAGTTACATGTTTCCGCCACTGAACGACGTTGGTTAAAACGTCCCGATTTGAGTCATGGAGCAGTTAGTTTGAATGGAATTACTCCAAACATTTCAAACAACTTAACAAATCATATTGTTAATCATATAAACCATAACAATAATAGTAATAATAACCTATCCCAAAATTTGTCTAAAAGTGTTCATACTGATGGGAAAAACAACAATAGCCATGTAACATTTATCAATGGTAATCCATTGCGTAAAGGTGGTTTAAGTTCAAATTCCTATCCAGTTCAATATGCTACAGCTCCATTACCTTTGATCGTATCTTCAATTGGTTTCGGTAAGTTATTAAAACTAATTTTATTATGTCAAATCTCGTTATATTTTAATTTTAATTTATAATAATACAAAGTTTCTTGCTACGTTTAGATTTTTTTACTCTGATGTTTTACTTGTCATTCTTTCAATGCTTTATATTTCTCAATATAATTGATACTACATTATTTCAACTCGTTTCCTATTCATTTTGTTAACATCATCTCATTGTGCTAATGTGATGTGACAATTTCGGCCAACATATATGTGAATTCATTATATTAAGGAAAGAATCGTATTTCTCACTGCTCTGTTGCTGTTGCACTAATATAAAGCTTTTTTGTCCTATGCTATCTTATCACTAACAGAGATCGAACTAAGTTTTAAAGAGAATATAGTATTGTGAAACTAGTAAACTACTGTGTTCATACGCTAAGCTACTCTTTCGTAAATCCAATTTCGATACAGTAAAAAACACTACTTCTATCCTCTTCTATGTCTCCGCTTATTAGAGTCAGAAGTCTAGTTCTGTGTAGAAATTTTGTTGATATGAACCCTCAAATGAATCAAAAATACACTTAACCAATTACACGTTATTACTATATACTAAGACTAATAAGTCCTATCTGTGCATTTGTTAATTAGGGTAATCCAAATATGTTATTGAGTGTTGTTAGTCTTATACCTAACATTTTTATTTCTCAGTAAATTGGTAACATCTTTAGTTTATTCTCAAGTGGTCGTTTTGTCTGTCGAAGAAAAGTAATTACGAACTATAAAAACAGCGGGTTGGGGTGAATGATTAGAACTTTTGGATATTAAGCTCCAACTCAAGAAAATGATGAATGGACGCGTCTATGTCGATGCCACTGGTTTCAAGTAGTGTAGCCTCAAGTATGCAATCATTGATTGTGATTATTTCACGAAACCTAAATATAAATCCAATAATTCATGGGACTGTGCGATGCAGTAGATGGTAGCTTCATAAGCTGACGGCTTGATATCTTGCTCCGGGGTTACATATGGTAGGTGTTACGTCCTTTAACCTCGTACAAGACTCAACTGTATCTACTTACCTGACCTCGCATATTTGGTATTACAACTGTGAATCATACTGTTTGTATATTTGAGTGTTTAGTTTTCAATTCTCGTGTACTTCACAAGAGTGAAATTTTAAAATAGCATTAAGTTTGGAAACGAAATATATATTCTCCTGTCGGATTTTGATTGAGAATCTCATATTCCCTATCCGATCAAGTTGCTTAGTGAAACGTAGAAAGATCACAACAGTTTAATTATTGAGTACGGTTCTTGTGATCTCAATTTAGAAATAAACAAGTTCTTCAGGTAGCTTTTACACTCTGAATTAATTTTGACTGATTTATGAGCTATATTAATCAGTGGTCATCATTCTCAGTTGTTTTGCAGTTGATATTCAACTCGTTGTTGTTGATTCTTGAGATGAGACAGTGCTATTGCATACTGATTATTGACGTGAATATTGAAATAGAGCCTGATAAGAACCCAATAATTAATGTTAATTGTTCTTTTGCAGACGCACATTCTCGCTGCTAAAAAGCCTTATTGATGAGTTCCAGCTAACATCAAAACCCCTAGGTCCAGTGCTCATTGTCGCGATTCCCTACAACCCCTCAACACTGAACAAAGCTCACCACGATTTCGAGTTTTCTCCAGACTAGTTACTATTACCACTTGATCTGTAGAACTCAGTAATTAGGACTGAATTAAATGAGACTTCGTTATTATTGTGTTATTAATCATTATGTAAATCTTTCTTACAAGGGGTCAGTCGCAGCTCAGATATCACCTGGTGGTGACATTTGTCTGTAGCATGTGTTGGAAGCCTACGGGTAACAGTCTCTGAGACTACAGATAGGGCTTGTTAATAAGTCATGACCAACCTGAAATCTCCAGGTTCAGGACTTCCTGTAGCTCATATCTTATCATCTAATGCTTGAATTTATTTTTTTCAACTCATTTACCAGATAGAGAATTGTACACTTGGCTTAGAGCCACACTAAATATGAAGGCTAGTGATGCTACCCGGTTACCTAGATCGGAGTAGGCGGGACAGTGTTCAAACATGCGACCACTGAGCCACCTCTCCACACACTTTGATATTACGTAGATATTCAAGAACCGGTCAGTCACCTAGATTTTCTAAAATATATGTAAATACAGATAGGTGTAACGATGCTAAATCAGGCTTGAAACATGTTCTGACTGTATAACCTGCAGAGTTCAACACTATGTTGCTTACAGTTTCGTGTTGATATTCGTTTACCCCCGCTTCGTTGTTTATATAATGAAACAATAATTAATATTTTTATATCCATCTATTATAGTAGATTTTAATTTGTTTTCATTTCTGTGTTTCGAAAAAAATGGTATAGATAGTACCAGTACCGGTCGTCAACTGCTTCTGACTCCTGGTTTATATGAATTACGCCTTGGTGTAGACACGTCCGACGGCAATGGTAGTAGTGGTGGAGTGATGAATAAAGTTGTGCCATTAAAATGTTTAGATGACAATGTAAGTGAAAAGTCATATGTTTCGGCTAACAACGACCAAACAAGTGACACGTGCTCTAGTCAAGTTGAATGGAGGCGCATTCGGTTTCCTAATTCTTCCACGGCACTAGACGAGTATTCTCGATGGCCTCGTCTTCGGTTTTCTGTCATATGGCATAATAAATTGGAAAATAATCAGATCATTTCACCTTGTAGATCGATGGAAACTCGAAGACAAGATAATACCCATGTACATATGGAGGGTCGATCCTCTCTTACACGTTCCATGACAAGTTCTCATAATCGAGATGTAATCAAGTCTCAAAATCAGTCTGCCACACCGCATAAACAAATAGTTTTGAAGGAGGCTTGCGATTCTTCTGTATTCAAAGATTCAACCGGTTTAGATAAATGTCTCTCTAATCGTGTACAACAAAGTCTCTCTGCTCATTTTGGACCAGACGTTGATAAGCCCACGTCTACGAAGACGCCACACTTAATTCGTCCAATCACATACGGTTTTGTATTCGGGGGTAATTTACAACAATGGTCTCAGTCCACTGATCTTGTTTGTCCATGGTGCCACTTAGATTGTGCTCGTGCTGGTGATAAAGGTCCTGAAGCCTTGATTCTTCATCTTCGAACTTGTCATCCAAGATTTCGTCTCAAGGTTATGTGGGATCCATCACATACACAGTTAAGCCTACAAGTTTCATTAAATGAAGCATATGACGGTTCAAATGATTGTGGTATACGTAGATGGTGTCCGAGCGGTCGGAATATTTTCGTTTTACGACATCATGTCATTCCATCATCTGGTCAGTTAGTCGATAGTTGTGCTGCCCTAGGTATAAATAGTAATGCCAAACAGTCAGGTAATCAAGGTCGTCATTCTATTTCTCCAACTCTGATTGATGCCACTGTTCGAATTCGTTGTCCTGTTCGACGATTGCCGTACACACATTTGATATTTTGGCGTGGTGCTGAGTTATCAACTGATCAGGTCAGTAATGGGCCTTTCTGCATAATTTTATTATTTTTCTATAGATGCCTTTGAAACTATGTTGATAGTGCATAAAAAATAGACTATTATTATTATTATTATTATTATTATTATTATTATTATTATTATTATTATTATTATTATTGATTTCTCTGAAAAAATATGTGTATTAATCCAGCTGTGCTACTAAAACCAAACATTAGTCGACGAAATAACCTGTTACTAATTGGGCTATCAAATGAGTAGTATTGTATTACTATGCTCTTCTCACAAAAATCTAAATAACAAATTTGTGTGAATCCAAGTGATTTACAGCTAACTCAGAAGTCCACCACAATCAATTAGTCATGTGCAACTTAGAACCTAATACTTATGTGCATCGGTTTAAGTTGTAATACCACATAAGCACAATGAGATAAAATTATCGAGACTTACTTCAGAGCAGTAGAATTAGAAACAGTATCAGTAGTCGTAGAAAATATTAGGTGCAGAAAAATAAAAAAATAAAGTATAGGAAGATTTTGGGAAGTAGGTTTTTGAGGGAAGATAGAGGGAATGCACCTGCTTTATTGCAAACAGTTCTTAGCCATATCACCCGAAGTCTATAGCCATTAATTACGATAATTAGACCGATTCCAATTAAGTTGTTTGCACTTATTAACATGCCTCAGACCAGTTATCAGTGACTTCACAAACTGGTGCCACGTCTTGGTTTGGACTCCCCTATCTTTGTTCCAGCCTATTTATTATTTATTTATTTAATTTAACACATAGATATTGAAACAAGAAGGCACCAAATACATATGCGCCACACAAATCTTATTCGATATGTGCGAGGGCTGTGATACTGCCCGGGTGCCCAAACCGAAGCAGGCGGTTTTCTTAGGGGGCCACTCCCCGAGCCTTTGACTTAGAGGTCTTACCCACAAGGCAGTGGAGCATCGTAAGGAGATGCAGTCCCATGGTAGCCGATGACCAACGATTGTTTCATACGCCATTTGTTCCAGCCTACTCTTAAATCAGCAAACATCTCGCATTAAGGCAGGTGTTAATTAAAAATACGCAATGCATGTCCCAACTACCTCAGTTTATAACTTGCCACATCAATCCATTCGCCATTTTTTCGTAGTACTATATGCCTAACCTCAATAGTTCTATCTCAATGGTCCCAAAATACGCTAGCGATGCTTTTTAGGCATCTAAGATTAGACACTAGTAACCTATGAATATCCTCTATTCTTATCGGTCGTGCCTCATAACCATAAAGTAAAACTACTGTGTAGTAACTTTGTCATGTGATTGGCAGATGATTATCTCGCTCACATCAAAAGTGACACTAGTTGGTCAAAGGCAACCGATATTTTTCAATCCGCGCCGAGATTTCCCCAGACACTATCCCATCAGGGGTGAGAGACTCCCACGATAAGTGAAGCGGTCGGCTCACTCAACCACTTCACTCCCTGTCATTAGCTTAGATATTGATGCAGTTGAGTCCTGAAACATTTTGAGTTTAGAGGTAGAAAATCACATCTCAAACATGCTTGCACTTTTGCTTAAGACCATTAGAAGACCCTACATTTAATCAGCTCTTCTCCAAATACGACAACTGTTCCTCAAGGTCCTACCATGTCAGACAGGTCGGTTAAAGAGCGGTAAGACTAAAAGCAACAAACCCAAGGTCAGAAGGCTAAGTCGTACTGCTGACTGTACAGAAGTGTGACAGCAGTAAGGTGTTTCCTTCAGACAACCAGCATGACAGCGATGCTGCCTTCCCACAAGGAGGGGTGGGGTTAGAAAAGGTCGACCTTAAAAATGCACACCTCGCCTTATCGCACGGATATCTGTCTCCGGCGTTAAGGTCCCAAAAAGTACGGAGCTAACACAAAAGTTATCCATAAAAAGGTCGTGCGTGACCGACCTCAAGCAGTTGTCCCTTGGGTACTGCGGTCACGCTCTCAGGTCACTAAGACCACCTCTAATCCAATTTCCTTTTCAGGTACCTCCAGAACAACCCCTCCACGGTGTGGACAACCGGGAAGTGATAACCGCCCTCATACCTCTAACAGCACTCAAGACCACTGTATTCCTAATCAACCTCCGTCTTCACTTCCTATTACTCCTCCTACATCGACTTTAACCTCTAAACTTCCTTTTTCGGCTTCCTCCTCAAATGTCACCATAGCCAACGATTCTAGTGCTCAAAACACTGTCCCAGGTCTACTGAAACTTCGCTCCAAACTACACACTGGAGCCTTCAACGTACACACCCTATGTCAAATTGGTCAACAGGCTTCCTTGGCTAGAACCTTAGAGTCTCGTACCATTGATGTATGCTGTGTCTCCGAAACACATACAGGATTCCAGGGTGGTCATTCACTTGACCTCACCTCGGCAACACGGAGAGCCAACGAGATACACACTCCGTGTATCTGGTGACGCGATGGCCAGCCCTCGTGGACTGGCAGGAGTAGGGATAGCACTAAGCATGAGGGTGGAACAAGCACTGTTAGAGTGGATCCCCGTTAACAGTCGTTTATGTGCTGTTCGGCTAAACGGCTCCGTAAGAACTCGGAAGGATAGAGACACACGTCGTTGTCTTTTTGTCGTTTCTGCCTACGCTCCCACTGACTGCAGCTCAGATGAAATGAAAGATGAATTTTACAGAAAGCTATCTGAACTTATTCAGAAAGCTAAACGTTCAGACATAGTACTCCTAGCAGGTGACTTTAATTCCCAGATAGGTAGTTTAAACCAAACAGAAAGGCATTTAGGTGGGTATTTTAATATTCCGGCACAACGAGCAGATAATGGTGATCGTCTGCTGCAACTGTGTTCAGACAATCGTTTATTTCTAGCAAACACAAATTTTAAGCATAAGGAGAAACATCGTCTAACATAGCGACCTCCTGCACCAAACCAACGATGGACTCAAATAGACCATATTGCCATCGGTCATCGTTGGAGAGGGTCGGTAGAAGATTGTCGCTCATTCTGGATTACCTGCTTGGACTCCGACCACGCTCTAATACGGGCACGCATCTGCTTGTGCCTCACTGGACGCAAAAAAGCCACATTAAAAAGACCCATTAGAACTGAGTTGAGTAACGAGAAAACCAAAAATAGGTTCAAAGAACAACTGAGTTCACAATTAGGTAGTTCTGAAGACGAGGCTGACCCAGATGTTGCTTGGAAAGCTATACAAGCAGCTGTGGAAACAGCAGTGACATCTATCAGTGATTTAAACCACAGGGTTACAAAGAACCAATGGATTTCCTCTAGGTCTATTGCACTGATGGATTCTCGTAAACTCACCCCATCAGGCTCTGAACATGATGAAGAGTGACAACAAATCAGATCTAAGTTAAGCAAAAGTCTAAGAAACGACGGTGAGCAGTGGTGGGCAACGAAAGCAAAAAAGATGGAAAAGGCGGCGACTATAGGGAACACAAGACAGCTCTACAGACTAATAAAATAAACTGGAATTAATAAGTCGAGCGTAAGTCAGCTATTTCGGAAAAAGACGACACCCTCATCTGATCTCAGTCCAGACGTTTAGAACGATGTGCGGAACATTTCAGAGAACAGTTCAGCTGGCCCTCAGCTACTCTACAACTACCCTCCATTCCCATACAGTGTGAATGGAACATTGAAGTAGGTCCCCCAACTCTAGCAGAAGTTCAAAAGGCTATAGTTAATCTGAAACGAGGAAGGGCAGCTAGTCCAGATGGATTGGCTCCAAAAGTCTTTAAGGATGGTGGTCCAATTTTAGCGATTAGGTTGACTAATATTTTAGCTAGGATCTGGGAGTTAGACGTTATTCCATCTGACTGGTCACAATCACTTATCGTCCCAATATATAAGAGAGGGTCGAAATCATCCTGTGACGACCATAGAGGGATTAGTTTAACTAATACAGTATCTAAAATATTGGCCTCGATAATTATCAGACGCTCAACTAAGACTCGTGAACTGCAAACACGAGAGAATCAAGCTGGCTTCAGACCTAGTCGTGGCTGTATCAATCACATATTCACCATTCGTCAGGTTCTAGAACACAGGCATACTTATCGGCGTCTTATCGTGGTCTTTCTTGACTTGAAAGCAGCATTTGACTCGGTAGACCGCGAGATTCTGTAGCAGTGTCTGTCATTGAAAGGCGTACCTCAGAAGTACATAAACCTTGTGAAGGCTCTTTACTCGAACACTACTAATCGAGTCAGAGCTTATGGCGAACTGTCATCTGCTTTTGCAACCTCAAGTGGTGTCCTTCAAGGCTGTCCACTTTCCCCATTTTTGTTTAACTTCATCATAGATCTTCTGATGGAAATAACATTCTCGTCGACTGAATTCTCGGATATTGATCTCCATCCAGGAGGTCTACTTATCGATTTAGAATACGCGGATGACATAGTCCTATTTGGTGAAGACGCTGATAGAATGCAGAGTCTTTTGGTAGCACTGAACAACAATGCCAGAATGTTTGGAATGCGCTTCTCTCCCTCTAAATGCTTCAGGACTGGTCTGCGTCAACACCTGAACTAAGGATAGCGAGTGAAGTAGTCGAACGCGTTGACAACTTCACTTATCTTGGAAGTCTGATCAGCCCTAATGGGTTGGTGTCTGACGAAATCTCAGTACTGATTCGAAAAGCTCGCTTGGCCTTTGCCAACTTACGTCACCTATGGCGAAGGCGAGATATCCGTCTATCAATAAAAGGACGAGTATACTGCGCCGCAGTCCGTTCTGTGTTAATTTACGGCGGCGAAACATGGCCATTAAGAGTAGAAGACACTCATAAGCTACTAGTATTTGACCACAGATGCCTCAGAAATATTGCTGGCGTCTGCTGGGATCACCGGGTAAGTAATAGTGAAGTTAGACGCAGGGTATTAGGGAATGATGGTTAGTCAGTTGATGAGGTTATGAATCTTCATCGACTGAAATGGTTGGGCCACGTGTTACGTATTCCTGAACACCGATTACCACGACGTGCAATGCTATCCGGTATTGGAAATGGTTGGAAGAAAGTTAGGGGCGGCCAAACCAAAACGTGGCATCAGTGCTTGAAGTCACTAACTTCTAGTCTGAGCCATGTTGGTAGATGCAGACTACTTGGTTGGGGTCCGCGTGACTGTCGTAACCAATGGTTGGAGACTGTGTGTGACATGGCTGAGAATCGATCACAATGGCGTCGGTGTATACACTCTCTGTCTTCCCTTAAACTAAGAGAATAAAATTGCTTCATATCTTTCTTTCTGCGAACTAATTCTTTCTTCCTGTACTATATCCTTATTGCAATCTTTCTTTTATATATTACCACCTCTGAACTAACTACTTGTATGAATCCGGTGTCCATCTTGTTGTGTTAATGAGGTATGGCAACTTGGACCGATGCATAAATGTGCCTGGTCCTACGCTGTAGCTGACTGACTGACTAATCTCTGGCTCTGTTAGAGGTGTGGGAGCGGTTGTGACTTCCTGACTGCTCACACCGCGGAAGGATGTTTCTTCTTGAGGGATCTGAAGAAAAAGCTGGGTTAGTGGTGGTCTTAGTGGCCTGGGAACATTATCACATAGCCCAAGAGAAAAATGTTTGAGATCGGCCGTCCATGGTCTCTTTATGGGAGGTTTCTGATTTATTAGCTCCGTACTTCAAAAGCCCTTACTATCCGAGACAGAAATCCGTGGGGTAAGATGATGTGTGACATATTAGGGTCAATCTTTTCTAGCCCCTTTTTTCCTTTGTGAGAAGACAGCATCGCTGCAGATGCTAGTTTTTAGAGGAAAACACCTTGCTGCCGTCACACCCTTCTACACTCAGTAGTACAATTTCACATTAGGTTAGTGCTTTAATACTCACCGTTCCTCAACCAACCTGCCTGTCATGATTGGACCTCGAGAAAGAATTGTTTCAGATAATATAGTTTGATTGGGACTTCGCGATGAGCAAGCCCAGCCACCACGTTTAGGTAGGAGCTACAGTCGGGAATCATAGATATTAAATATATTTTATAACTTTCTCCGAGTGAACTTTAGTGTTCCTCACTACTGTTAAATGACTCTCAATTTAAACTATGAATATGCACTCATGTATTCAGCTTCATGTTCGGTTTATGTGTACTTTTTAGTTTCGGTTCTCTCGTGTTCCAAGTCCAGGGTTTCTTAGCTCACAGAAGGCAAGGCAGTTGAGCAACGTTGACAGATGCCTTCCCATGGTAGCCGGTGGCCAAGAATATGTCCATACGCCCTTTGTTCCCTCAGGATCCTGGAACCCATGTGCACATTTGGTGTGGAAACAGGGTTTTCCGACTCTCTTTTGTGGACCCTCCGTATCCACCAACCCGAATAAAGCACCGGACATTTACGTTTCATCCTCTCAATTTCGTAAACAACACCCGCCACAAAAAGGCAGTGAGTAGGACTTCACTGGTAGTGGCTGTATTCGCATGTCTATTTGAGAGGGAGAGCTGACTCCCCTTTCTTAGTATTTGAGAGCAACCTGTTATCCTACATAAAATGTCATTGTCTTCATGTAATTGATTATCGGTGTATCGTACTGATACCCTCATAACTTAAAAAAGTTAGCGACTATATATCTGGGCTTATTAGTAGGTTACTGAATCACCACAGGCACTGGTTTTGAGTTTCAGTGTGAACATCTACACGGACCTATGTGAATAGAGCTGATGAGACCCACGTAAGACGAAACCTGCACTCTGAATTCCATTACTAGCTAAATCCATACTAAATATACTAAAGCTCTTAATAAGAACAAATCCCGACAGGCTGGCCAATCGCAGTCCCCAAATACCAAAACATCGCGAAATTATTGATCCGTACCAAAAAATTCTCGTGTCAACACCGATTGCATCAACATATTTCTTATTTATATTGTTTTAATCAGGCCAATTTCCGTAAAGTTTATTATTCTGTTACTGTCTAAAACAATACCTGTGCTATTTCTCGTTTTTTAGTGTTCCTAATTTAATGTTTTTTTCTTTGTTTTTTGCTTGCTTATTCCCGCACACACACGTGTGTGTACCTAGTTACTTGATCCTACATTATCGGTACGACCTATGGTCACTGGACATAATCGTATTTATTATCATACACGTACATCCCAGCCTGTGCGTGCTTGTGAATTTGATGTGGACTCTGAAGCGGAAGATGCTCCAGTCTGGCTTCGTCAACATTATCAACGTAAAGTGGAGGAGTTCACCGATGTGAATCCGGTCAGTGTTTTTTCTCACTTCCTTTCAATGTACTTTCAAAGCGTTTTCTGCCTAATTCCATCGTAATAAATCTATATTAGACAGAAAATGAGGAGACACTGCTATTGTTAAGCCATTCTGGACTGTTGATATTATTTTTTTTGTATAGCTTGGTATGAATTTATGACTACCTTGTCACAATAATTGTTCTATTGTCTCCCTGTCTGTATAGAATTTGAGATAACTGTAATATAAGTACAAAGCACTAACAAATTTTCACGCCAAGAATTTTATTATTTTAGCAGTGTGTGTTGTTGTGATGCAAACGAATCTAATGTGTATTTGATACATTTTAATTGTGGTTAGATGCGTCATCATATTTCAGAACTGGATAACAACAGCGCCTATTTCATTTAAAAGTGAGCTCAGTTATTCCACAACTATTAAATCGATTGGCTCTGATGCATTTGGTTGTCTTCATTTTTCCTGTTATTTGAGTTGACTATCTTGTTCGCTTAATCTGTCACCATATGTTTGATCAATGCTTCAGATTCGGATACAGAGATTTAAAGTAGCAATTAAGCGAAGCTATGTTATCACTGATATCATTGCACGTAGACAATCACATATGAATTCAATTGGGCCAACTTCAGAATTGTGGACCAAGAGATTTCTAAGGCCAGTTTATTTCTAAAAGTATGATATTCATATCAATTGACTTATGTATTCATTCTGTCAATCTTTTCGAAAAGGATTGACCAAGTACACATGGTTAGTGATCAGCTGATTGAGGCAGTCAACTTGATTACAATGGAAAAATGATGGCTACGAACACACACAAATCGCAAACAAGAATATCAAATCAAACTGCTTTAAACGTTATGAAATAACTGAGAAGCTCACTTTTATATGAATGGCAGCAAAAAACTGCAATTTAAACCATCTCATTCAGCTAACTCAACAACACTAAAATTGTTCACTTGAACTGTAAATAGTCACTATCATTTCGATGTTGTTTGTTAGTGATAGTGATATAAATTGTTCGATGAATTATTATTTGTTTATATCCTAGTTCTAAATCGTTTATGCAAAAACTATTGCTGGATATTCAAGCAATAATTTGATGAACCCTTTCAAAATATTTAAATTGTAAATTGATCTGAGAAAAACTTGTGTGGATTTTTCTAATCCAAATCTCATTGTTAGTTAAATGTGGAATTCTTCATTCCACTCTTATATTGTTTATTTATTTATTCAGGGTGAAAAACAAATTATGCAATTGTGGAATGCTTTACTACTATCAATTCGTCCATCCGGTTTAGTAGTTTGTGACAGTCAAGTATTAACATTAGTCTGTCAATTTATACATCAGCATAGTCGATGGATTCATAGACGACGTCTACGTACTAATCTATTGTTACATTTAGTGAATCTTGTTGATTATGGCTTATTATCATCTAGTCAATTGCGTCAATTAATGTTAATTCATGATAAACATGTACAAGAATTAAATCCAATCAACAATACATCAGTGATTAATAATCACATAATTAATACACAACCATTATCATCTCCATCGAACGCTTCAACAACATCTTTCTTACCCGACTCTAAATTAGTTAATCATCATATTAATAAGTCACAACCAATTATGCCACGTCTTCTTCAGATGTTCTCTTCAACATCTAATTCATAGTGCAAAAAAAAATTCAATGCTGCTTACACTCTTGTTTCCCAATTTGTATACTCCTCCCCTCTATGTATGTATGTATGTGTCCGTGACATTAATACTTAGAATAGTTCGAGAGACGGATGTGTGTATGTATGTGAATCGATGCATTTTTTTATTTACAGATGTTTCCGTATAGGCCAAATAAATTGTTTTTTGGATTTTTAATTTTCTTTTTTTTTACAATGAAATCACACAAAACAGTAATTATTCTTACACAATAAGTATGTCTATGTGTACGTTTCTTCTCTCCTTAGAATTATGCTCAATTTTTTCTCCACTTTTCATCTTTCCTGTGTGTTTTGTGTAGTTATTCAGTCGTGTAAAACCTCAACATCATTTTGATTGTTTTGTATTTTTACAAAAAAGAATTTCTAGATTTTACAAATTCCCAGGGTCTATATGTTTGTCTATAAACTTACGTACATACAACTATATGTAATTATTAACGATAATGTGACCGTTTTAATTTTATAAGCTATTTGTATTTCTGTAGTGTATACAAGTGTTCCTTCCACTCCCCCTTCATTGTTGTTCATTTATTGAATATCACTTTTTCCATTCAACAACTAACTATCCTCAGGGGACGTTCATCAGCTTGGTTCCTGGTAGTGTTTTTGGTTCTTTATGCTCTTCCATTATAATATATATGTGTGTGCTTTCTATTCAATTATAATCTGTCTTTTGTAGCCTGTTCGTGTGCATGTATACACATACGTTTGTGCCATGCATATTATTTCGTCAATTGTAATAACAAAACTCTAAAAGTCTGTGCCTTCTTCATATTGATGATGAATTTCTAAAAAAATGATGAAGAGCAGTCTCATATTATCATTATCACTAGTATTATTATTATTATTACTACTATTAATAGAATTATTCTTATTAAATTTTGTTTTCAAGAATACAAATGTACCATGTATGTATGTTTGTATAGGTATTCAACAACTTTCTTGTATATTACAATTGTTTATCTATTCAATTATGATTGTTTTCAACTCTCATGTATAATTCAACTGTGAGGTGAAATGTGTAATGTAAAGAAGATAAGCGTAAAAATAGTCAAGTTCAAAAGCTCATTTATATTGACAAGTGAAAGTAATGTAATTACTATTATTATAATTATTCTCTAGGTAGGATTTTTATTGTCCATTTATGGTTATTATGACTACTATTATTTTTAACTTTTTTAGTAAGGTATCTTCGTTTTTTCCTGCTCTGAAATTATCAGAAGTGCAAAGTATAGTTTAATGAATGACTGACTTGTTTAGTCGTATTTTTCTCCTGTCTAATTCAATGAACAATGTATATTATTATATCATCAAAAATATTTTTCTATTACTACTATTATGTAATAACCGGTCACTGTCCTCGTTGTTGTTGTTTTCGCTGTTGTTATGATTAACTCAGGCTTGTTTGTGTTTCGCACATATTATGATTGATCTTATCACTTTTTCTACTTCTACTCAACAACTATTAGTTCGATTAAATTTTTTCCGACTTAACATGTAGCTATGATTTTCTCTCTCTCTCTGTGTATGTACGTTTTCCTTAGTATATAGGATAAGTTTATTTTCGTCTCGATTAGATTTTGGTCTCGAATCCCTTATTTCGGTTTGCTTATTTAGTTTGACTATTCCAGATGATGACGACGCGTTTCATTCTTTGTGTTTGTATGTATGTATGTTTTAGGAATATTTATTTGTCTCCCTGTCCCTCCTCCCTCTGCTTATGATTATAGGAGTTTTTTGTGGCGCATTGAATTGTGCGAACACTTATTCTTGTATGAGTTGTTAATTAATTTTGTCCTATGTACTTAGGATTTATACATGTAATACGTCTTAGCTTTAATTGTCATCTAAACAACTGATGAGTAAATTTTTCTACATACACATATATACTTAAATATTAATTTACTGTAATGCCATCTTCATGTTTGTATGTGTTTTCTACATTCTATTCTCATTTCTTTCTTTTTCATACAATCATCTTTGTTTATCTCTTCACAGAAAACTGATTCCTAATCTTGTCCTATTTTACATTCTTCTGGCAGCTACCTGTTCTTTTGTGTTTATATGGTACGACCATGTCTGTGCGTGCATACACACACGTACAACATTCTTTTGATATCTTTAAGACTAATGTTTCCTTTTTGAGATATTATCCCTCTATGTTTGCTTATCGAGAAAGTTTTGTATGTATCTGTGTATGTTTGTAATCGTTCCATCTCAATTACCCTTTACATTTTATACTTTTTTCAATATAGTAATAGTAACAATTTTTTTGTAAAAGATGTTTCCATCTACTTTTTTATACCCAAACGTATATATATGTTTAGTTATTAAGAAGAGTGCTTGATGCACTGTATAGGCTTTTCCTATTTCAAAATAAAAATTTCTTCTAATTATTTATTCGCATTTGTTCTTGTCCATAGTTTTATGCTGTGATTGTTTTTGCCTCATGTTCGTACTGTTGTCATGTACGCTGTTGTTGTTTAATGATGATGATTTAACTTCCCTAACGTAGTAGTAGTCCTGTTTTCGCTTACCTTCTAAATATTTTTCTGCGAAATACCATGTACTCACTAGTGACCAGCTTTAAAGAAAGTCCTATTGAGAAGCCGTGACTAATGTAGTTCGATCATGTTGAATGTGAAAAGGTTATCCACCGACGACAGTGATAGATAGTCATGCAATGTCGCAGATTAGTTGGAGTCATATTTATACACCGTCACTGTGCTAGAGATCTCGCTTTCTTGTACGAAACCGAATGTCTTGGTTCTGATCCCTGGTTGCGGGGTCGTGGGTGCACACTGATGAATTCCATACTAGAACTAAACGGTAGTCCAATACCACCAAGTTTTCGGTGATTGTCTAACACAGATCTGTTCATAATGTCGATATAATAGTGGGGGTTTTCGAACAACTAACACTTCCATCTTTTGTGTTAGTTGCATTAAACAAACAATCTGCTCGTTGTAGATAAAAATGGACAATCTAGTATTTTTGTATCATGATAGCTGAATAGATATATTTCAATCAATCGCAGATATTGTGAAAGTACTTTAGTCCAAGCTAAGTTGAGTAAACTAAAATGTCAGTGATGAGAAGAATTTTACCCATTATCTTTCAACAGTACTTGAATGAATGAAATAAAGTTACCTGTTTTTTTTTAATTCTAAGAATTTCTGTAAACTATGTCTTATCAACTGCTTGTCTATTGATACATATACAGAAGACTATTTTCTGAGAACTTTTAACGTAGTCTATTAAATATTAGGACATTATACGAATATTCGTCAAGATTAGAACGAATAGTTTGACAGTAATTGAGCGCCGAGTATAGAGGAGTCATTATATGTGAAAATTATATTTGAAATATTCTCAGCGATTGAAATATAACTAATTCCAACGTTTCGTCCAGCTAACTTGTCTGGACGAAACGTTGGAATTAGTTATATTTCAATCGCTGAGAATATTTCAAATATAATTTTCACATATTAGGACATTACTTCGAAATTTTAATGTTTTGTCGAATAGCACTTGTTGAAGTGAAAAATGTCATTTTAAAAGACATCAACTTGACTATAGACCACTGGATTTGAGAATCATTCCTAAATACTGTCGATTATAAATAAATTATATTACGAACACATTACTCTCGATCGTTGTGTATTCTACTGCTTCACTCTCATATATGGATGCCCTATTTCATAAAACTAGTTACGTTAACGTTGATTATACAGCTGGTACACTTAATCCTTTAAATTCATTCCCTCGTTTTATAGTTTGATATGATATTCACAGTTACTTTCCCATTCTGTATGTTATGCGATTGTACATTAGAAAAATAAACTCAAAGTTGTATCCCTTCATAAATAAAGTTCTTGTTTAACTACTGATATTTTTTGCTGTTGTGTTCCAGTTTCTGAGATAAATATGACTAATCCAATGAACGATGAATCTATTTGGGATTCTGGTGAAGATGAGTCCGTAATAGATCCTGAGGTTCCCATTGGTATGTGTAGTTCCTACAGCTTAGATTTCAGCAGTGTGTCATTTAGTTTTATTTTCGTTTACCCAAGCCTTTGGTTGTTTTTACACATTTGATTGTAAAAACGGTATTTATTTCCTATTCCTCTCACCTTAAGCTCGATACAGAATTCCGAAGTTATCATTATGTCCAAGCATATGTACATACGAATAAAGAATATAGTGTAGTTTTTGTTAGGCGATTTCAATTTTCCGGGCACTTCGACGAATCCCTTATTATTGTGTATAAAATTTTATATTTATTGCTTATGGTTTGATGTCTTGTTAAAAAAAGTAAGGTGTGATACACCACATATTTTGACTAGTTTACCGAAACAAGTATCTGTTCTCAGAATGTGTCCTATCCACTATTTATTTAGCCGTAATATCAACTCGGTTCGATCTAGTTCTATCCATTTTGTGGAAACTCATTGTTGGTATTTTAAAAATGAGCTATCTGGATGACCTTTTCCGTTATGTTGGCGGATGCAGACTACCTGGTTTAAATCCGCACACTAGATGTGATGAGTTGTTGGAGACGTATGATTTCATTCAATATCAGTCCCTGTGGCATTCACTTTTTAACTCCCATTAGATTCTTCAGTTCCAGTATATTCTTTCATACATACCCTTTCATCCTGTTTTTTTCCAACTATACTTTCAATGCTCAATTTTTCTCATTATCATTTTTAGTACGATTATTTTGATCTCTTAAAATTCATCAAACCGTATCAACGCAGTATGACTACTTAGTCCAATATATTTGCGTCAGACTGTACGTTGATTATGAATAGGTTTTAAAAAGAAAACACTAATTCTCGAAATTGGCAACAAATATGTAGGCGTCCGTGCCATCGGTAAGGAATTGAAATAAACATTAACTTTACTCTCAGTTTTTAACTAAATATGGGCGTAAATCTTCAGAGGACAGTTTTCGTTTTATGTTCTCATATCCGAGTTGAAAGCGAGCGCTGGCTACGGCCAATGTACCTTGCTCCACAAGAGCAGGTGAACTGGTAGATGCACATGGAGGCGACCAGACGCGGAAGCTTATCTTTGTTGGCGATAAAGATTTGTTGATTACTGAAACTGCTCTTCTGTTAAACTCCGGAACGTGATTATTTAAGGTTATTTAGCATAGCATCAGTGAGATCTCACATAGCTTGACTGGATAGGTATCTTTTCTAAATTCTCTGTCAGTGTCAAAAGTTAGAGTGCACGTATTCATATATTATTGTATTGTCCTATATCTCATTGGATAACAGCTCCCAGAAACCAAACGTTTAAGAACTCAAAACTTTAAACTCCACAAAACTCAGACAAATTACTGAAAGAGTTTGAAATTAAGTAATAATTGCATGTTATGGCGCCTTGATAGGATGTTCTAACTGTACCCCACTTTCTTGATCCAGTTTTTAGTATAGTTTGGCTGAATCGTCTTCTTCAGCTCCTCCTCTTCTAAGCTGGTTACTTGGTGAACGGAATATTTCTAGTTCTCTGACAAAATCACACTTATTTTAGTTTGACACACACTACTTTCTTGTTTGTACCTGGCAGTTATTAGATCCATACCTAGTTGAACTTTTATCTGTTCAATATTTGTTTACAACTCTCTCTTAATTCAACTTGGCATCTAGCTGACAAATTGGTTCAAAATGAAGTAAACAAATCTGGACATGTGTAATATTCTCATATGTTTTAACATGCCTCTATTCGAAAGATCATATAAAAAAAGAGTATATTAGAACGAGCATAAATAGGAAGAAATTGTAGCAATAAGGTATTCATTTATCCACACAACTGTGTTAAGTTTGGTCTAGAACCACTGAT